CAACTCAATCAGCAATCGGAGACAGAGGCATCTTATCTCCCACCAATAAGAGAAACTATCAGAGAACTTGGTACTGGACGTATTTTCACTTCTCTGGATTTGAAAAGTGGTTACTGGCAAGTGCCTTTACATGCCGATAGTGCACCTTTAACTGCGTTTTCAACCCCTGATGGCGCCATGTATGAGTTTGTCGTTATGCCGTTCGGATTGAAGAATGCACCATCTACTTTTCAAAAGATGATGACGCAAGTTCTCGAAGGATACGTTGATAAATTCGTGAAAGTGTATCTGGATGACATAATAATATTCTCAGAGACACATGAATGTCATCTCCATCACCTCGCACTAGTTTTGGAACGTCTGCGTATACATACCCTCCAATGTTCTCTGAAAAAATGCCAGTTTGGAGCTTCTCAAATTGAATATCTGGGCCACTGTATAACCACTGACGCTAACTTCCCTCAAGAACAACATATCCTGAAGATCAAACGGTATCCAAAACCAAAAACAATGAAGGAACTTCAAGCATTTCTGGGCACGGCCAACTGGCTGAGGGAATATATTCCAAATTTTGCTTCTCTAGTCACCCCTTTGACTGATTTAACTGGAAAGAAAATTTTCCATTGGACACTGGAAGCAGAGAAGTCATTTGAAGAATTGAAAACAGCTTTGGAACAGCCTTTGCTACTCCATAGACCTGATCCAATGAAGCCTTTCGTTTTGCAAACGGATGCGAGTCAGCAGGGTATGGGGGCCGTTCTTTTTCAATGGGGAGATAACGGAGAGCGTAGAATCATCTCATATTCCAGTGCAAAATTCACGAAGGCTGAGAAGAAATATCATGTGAATGAACAAGAGACTCTCGCAGTTGTATGGGCATGTAAGCGGTTTCGACCCTATTTGGAAGACCAACCTTTCACTTTAATCACTGACAGCCGCGCACTCATATGGTTAGACAAATATAAAGATGATAAAGCGAAGCTCACACGATGGTCGTTACTTCTGCAAGAATTTTGCTTCTCTGTTAAGCACTGTCCGGGCAGGGAAAATCAATTACCAGATTTTCTATCTCGTTTTCCCCAACCATCGGTTGAAGAAGAAAAAATAGACAGGACTGAGTATGACTCAAGATTAACTCCTCCTAGCCCACCGGAAATACCATTGAATAATATCAATGAGCATGTATCTCTAGCCCTACTGAACACTGAAAATGCTCTATACAATGCTGTTGTTGAAGCTCAGAGTCGAGATCAAAATATTCGGGATACTAAGCAGCAGTGGCTCAATTACCAACGACAACCCAATTGTCCCAATTCAAGAATCAGTAAACGATACCGGACATTTTGTGAATCCTATTTAGTCGAAAACCATGTACTTTTCCATAGACATAACCAGAAGAAAACTTTGGTAGTACCAATTGCTCTACAACCTCGTGTAATATTTGAGTATCATGATTCAGAGATTGCTGGTCATCCTGGTAGAGATGAAACCTATAGGGCAATTAACCAAAAATATCACTGGAGCGGAATGTGGAATATGATAAGCAAGCATATAAGAGTCTGTCTGATTTGTGCGTCTACAAAGGCAGGTGCGAGACAGCCACATGCACCACTAAAACCAAAGCCGCCAACTCAGCCATGGCAAACTATCAGTCTTGATGTCATGGGACCTTATTCGGTAACCCAAAACGAAAACAAATATCTGATTGTAGCCACGGATATAGGATCTAAATGGATAGAAATTGCTGCTACATCTGATTCAACTACAAAAACACTGACTTCATTTCTACAGAGTGTTTTTGGACGTTGGGGCTTCCCCGAATCGATCATTACCGATAACGGTCCACAATTCCGCAGTATCAACTGGCAAGACTTTCTGAGAAAGTTACAGATTCATCATTTCACCACCCCAATATTTCATCAAAGAGCCAATCCCGTAGAACGTCGTAACCAGGAACTGAAAAAAACATTACGAATACAAGCTATGGCAAGAGGGATCTGTAAATGGGATACAAATCTATCTAAAGCTCAGTTTGCTCTGAATAATAGACGAAACCGAGCTACCGGGTTTTCTCCGAGTGTTCTTCTTCTGGGACATGAGCTACCTAGACCTGGGGATTGGGCAAATCCTGTTACCCATGAACAGGTAAAAAATACAGCAGAAATTGTATCAGAACGTTTACAAACTGCAGAATTGAATCAGCAGAACTTTCATCGTAAATTTTATCCAGTACCTCAAAATTCACCACCTAAGATACAAGTAGGACACTTGGTTATGATTAGAGAATTCCGCAAAACCCCATCCTGCTCTTTAGGCAAAACATGGACTGGCCCACATGAAATTATTGCCGAAATAGGTAGAGATACTTTTGAAGTAAGTCGAGATGGACGTATTTTCAAAGTACATATCGATGATATCAGACCTTACTCTACTTTGAATCCTGTTCCACTAAATGATGTTCTAGAGCGACGAGAAATGGAAAAGGAACAAGTGGATGGAATTTCTACTTCTGAGAGTGGTTCAGAAGCATCGTTTGACGAAGGGCGAAGTTCAAATGAAGAAGAATTCAGTACGAGGCCTAGGCGTCAAGCAACTCTACCAGAATCTAGACGAAGATATTACAAAAGTCGTTATTTTCAGGACTAGTACCTGTATACATTTTTTATTGTTATGACATTCATCGTTCATTTCGAAATAAATAAACTCCGACTTGCTAGAGGGGGGGGAATGTCGCCGAGTGGCGATCATGCTAGTTGGGCGGGTAAAAGTACCCTGTACAACTAGCATGATGACATTGATTGCCAGATTTGAGTTTGGTCGGTCTCGTATCTGTCAGGGTTTTGAAAACGCAAGTTGGAGAATCATTCCTCTAATCTAGTCAATTTATCAAGCCAATCATTCCCTATGGAGTCTTTTCCATCGGGAGGAAGTTTTCATGGTTTTCCATGCGAGAATTCCCAGGACAAGGAAGTTAATCTTCGACAGTCAGTAGATCCACTGACTCTGCTGAAAAACTGTGTCCCGAAATATCAAATCAAAAATACAGTGCTGTAATTCGGAACACGTTTTCATCAGTAATCAGCAGCAGTTGATCAGCTGGTGAAATTTGTCAGTTGTCATTGATCTGGCAGATGCTCCTGCTTGAGCTAAATAAATAACAGGCATTTTCTGATATCAAAATGATATTATTAATGTATTATTGATAAGCCAAGACTTAATGTTTGAAAAACAACGGAAATGAAAGTGTCATTCCTTTCCCCTCAAAAATAATGACAGTGCACTGAAGCCACACTACCTTTTGATAGTCAGAAAAATCACTCGACCGCTCAATATGATTCCTCTACGTCACATCGGGTGGGACTTTTTTCCGCTAGATGGTGATTCTGCTATTCGCGATAGAAAATAAGCGTACGCCACCTATCGAAGTTCTTGAGAGCTGTCAAAGCGGCATGTTTACTTTGTTTTCATTGGTTCACATTTGTTTTTTGTTTGTTCTTATTGGTCATATCATCAAAACAAACCGCTCAGTAGTGTGCAAGTTGCTGCCGTTGAGTGGGGGCGACGTGTTATTTTCTATGGCGAATTAATGCTGTGATGAGTGGGACGAGTGAAAAAAAATGGCAAATGGCAATTTAGGTACGCGGAACATATGTGAAAGTGGGTTTATTTCACTCAAAATTCGGAAAATCTGCGGCAATTTCAAAATTGACAGATGGCATAGCTATGTAATGTCACCATCTATTAGAAGATCGCCGAAACCATTGTTCTCGAGAGGCCGAGAAGAATTTCTGAAATAAAATCGCATAGCCTTATTGGAAACTAAGGTCCCTTCAAAGATCACAATTAGGATGCTTAGGGTCGGTTGCATGATTCTCTTTGTTAACTCAACAAGGGATCAACTCTTGTTACGTAACTCTTCGATCAGTTGATCTTGCTTTGTCATAAATAATTCGATGAAGAGCTGAGCTATGCTCTGATTTCGATCAGTTGATCTTGCTTTGTCATAAATAATTCGATGAAGAGCTGAGCTATGCTCTGATGAATGGATCAATTTTCAAAAAAATATAAAAAACATTGTTGAACTACATCTTGGTATAGTTGAATCAGGAATGGAAATTACGGAAATTACGACGCCAATGACCTCAATATAACCTAAAAAACAACAAATGTCAAAAATCTAGTGTTTATCCCCAGAATTGAATAAGGATGGAACTATATAACTGTTCCACAAACACTTTAGAGTGAGAGGAGACTAGGATCTGTCCCTACCCTGTTAAGATGACTTCAACATCAATTTCCATCAAAGGGACTCTGATACTTTGATATTCCTTATTATATTATATTCAACCCTTTCAGGGCAACTACCCCTGAAATTTCTAATGACAACCCCCAATTATTTTGCTATTTCTGAAATCCTTATGTGATTCCAGATAACTTACAGTTATGTTAAATTTGTTGTCTTCAAAAAGATATGTTAACTCTCATCAAAATTAAATCAGATATGGGAAAAAGATCTATTTCATACAATGGAACAATTCTCTATAATGAATTACCTGCCAGACTGAAGAAAAAATTAAGTGTTGGGAAATTCAAAATAGGAACTGAAAAAATACTTGTCTTTCATTCTCTCAGATCATCCTAAATCAATTCAAGAACTTACATTCAACAGTCTCTAGAAGAAACAACATTATATGTACTATGTGTATGATTAAAAAATGATTATCTGATTATCTATTTTTATTTTTTTAGTTTTTTTTAGTTGCTCTTTCATAATTTTCCCTGCTATAAACATATATGTTTCTTGGGAATAATGAAGATTATTATTATCAAAATTGCAGTTCTCCACCTCAGGAATATTTGGATTGTAGGTAATTTATTATGAGATTATTCATTTTTGATTCTGATTCAACAGCAATATTTCCCATGAGAAAATGAGTCAATTATGTATGGATTATCTATATGAACATAACATAATAATGAACTATACAGGTAGTACTCACTTTATCTTGGAGTATAAGAGACCCATTTTTGTAAGCTGGGTGTCTGTAGAATTCTGTTTTAGGTGGAAATATCAATAAGTTAGGGATATGGATGTCCACCATGAATTCATCCTCATTGAGCAAAGCAATTTTGTTGAGAAACTCCTTGTAATTGGTCTTGTCCAAGAATTTTGACAGGGTCCAACCTTCCTCTCTGAAACCTTCAACTGCCTCATTCTGAGTGAGGGCCAAGGAATTTACTCTTACATAGCGAGGTTTGAAGGTACCTGAAAATTGAAAAATGTGAGGGGTCATCATTAACATGCTGGAAAATATCAAAATGTACTTTGGAAATTGCCTTGATCTTACAATAATCTAACAGAAGAAATTTCAATCTATGAGAAACCACACTTTTATAAATTCTGTCAGTAGGATATTGGTGAAGTTTTTCCTGTGTCAATTTAGCACTTAAATTTCCCTTCATAGGCATTAATAACTGATTTCAAAAAATTTATAGTTTATAGCTTTCAATCCTTAAATCAATGTATGACCTGAATATCTCAATATCTTAATCTCAATGTATCTATGGTCCAAATGTTTTAGTTTGAATGGGCAAAATGAATCAGAAAAGTCTGACTTGTTTTTGGAAAATTATTCATGTTTTGAAGCTCTTATGAAACACCATAATATTTCAAATGTATTTTATTAAAATTATCACAATTTAAAATAAATACAATACATTCAATTTGAGTAATACATGATTGTTTGAAAGATATATGAATAATAATGTTCAAAAAAACACCAAGGACTGAATGAAATTCTAATATAATACTAAATAATACTGATTATTGCTGTTTCTTTCCCTGTTTTTCCTTTTCAGGTTCATTTCTGTAAGTTCTATAGGAATACACAGAAATTATAATATTGAGTGTCCACACAGCTAGACCCACTGCAGAAACAGTATTTGGAAACCCAACTACTTCAAACTGATTCAACAAAAGTTTAGCTCCAAAATATGCTGAGATAGGCAAGATGAACATCAATAAACTGAAGACAAGTGCCCCCATAACATTCGGAGTCGGTTTCGGTGGCAAAGACACATTCTTGCCAAGAATACTTTCTCTATCCATTATGTCTGGAAAAATAAAAAAATGTTACCTTGAGAAATGACAATTTCTGTTGGTTTTTCATCACTCAGATGGGCTTTGAATATCTGTTCATATGCACGGACTGTATTTTCGGGTTTGCTCTGCCCCGGAAGGGTTTTGCGGCCCCACAACAGCTCTACAATCAGTATTTTCGATAGCCATATGTCTGAGCGAGGCTCCTTCTCCAAAAACTGTGAACGCTTGAGTAAACGATCGATTTCACCTTGTCTCTGGTAAAGTGTACTCACAAGAGCATATAGAGCCTTGATATTCTGGAATTTAATTCATCATACTTGATGAAACAGACATGGCCATCTAACCTTAAGAAAATACTCACGGGATGTTTTTTTTGTTTCTCGTACACGAGCTGTTTGATACTTCCTTTGCCGTCACTTACTTCCTTTGCTATCACTGCTGCTACTTTATATAATCTAGGTACTTTCACTGAATGTTTAAACATAATTAATTGATTACATACCTTTTCCTTTTCTTATCATTCATGAATCAAAATTTGCACAACTCCCAACTGTCATACTGTCAAGTCACATAAAAAGCTCTCTACTGTGGTCTCTGTGGTCAAGTCAATTCCAATCAGACAAATGTCATCTAGATGACAAATACGTCAATTTACATCAAGGGGCCTTAGGCAAGACAAGTGGCATGAATCCGTTTTGCTGTCTGCATGAATTATTTGTTGCACCCTGTCCCTATTGACTTCCTGCTCTGTGATCACGATCTAGCTATCGCGGTCAATTTGAATCTATTGTATCTTTATCAAAAAAATGTAGTACAAGAATCGTACCACCTTTAATATATTTCAAGTACCTTTTTAGTGCTTTTTATTTCATAAGTATTTTTTCTCTGCCAGATATCTTCAGAGTATTTTAGACCTATCAAAAATATCCCAACTTTATTCAGATTTACATGTTTCTGATTTATTTACAAACAAAATAATATTATTGAGCTATTGGTTATTATTGAACCAAATATTTTGTCAATATTACTACATCATAATCATCTTATACACTAAATATACATATATAGACATTCATGAAGGAGGAATACCATTATACCTTCATGAAATTGAAAATAATACTGTTCAAAGATCTTTCTTTACTATTGTTTCTACAGGGTTTCCTTCATCATCATAATCAGGTTCATTATACCCTATAAAGGCATAGGCACCTATTATCAAATTGACCATAACTACAGCAGAAGAGACTGACCATGCTGTATTGGCAAAACCTACTATGAGGAAGTAATCTTGAAGCAGGTATTTAGTTGCAAAAAAAACTGCAAATGGTAAGGTGAACATCAAAAAACTAAAGAATAAGAGGATTCCTATTGCTTTAGCAGCTTGCCTGGTATGAACTGGCAGTAAAGGTTCATCTTCACACACATGTTCGTTTTCTTGAGTCATTTTCAAACCTGAAAAAATTGATTGTACATAGTAATATTAATGATCAGGTATCATTAGATATGTATTATCTCAGAACAAGGGTGTACACTGTGGTATTATTGACCAGGATGGGTAATTTTAACTTTAGAACCATCATGAATAATTACTTATTTTAAATAATCCCAAGGCTTGGGGCTGGATGTTGGAGGTGACCGTGAACTGGACTAACTGGAGTAGTGGACTAATGAAGTATCACTAGTATCAGTGTATTTGCCTATTATTTGCCTTGTGTTTTGATCATGAGACAACCACCTCACCTAGACATTCCTTCCTACCTCAAATATACACGTCATGGGATATAGTTTTATTCGTTTCTCATCGAGTCTCCGAGTTTTTGGCAATTTACACTGCTATTTAGTATAATCTAGATGGAAACTTTCACCCTTTCAAAGTATATTTCCTGGAAATTTGTAGTAACTTTTCGTATAACCTCATTTTTCAATTCATGACGTTTGATAGTTAGTAATCAATGCTGCCAACCCTTGAGCAAGAAATTACCCAAGAAAATACGAACAGTGATCAAGGTTAGTAGATAGTAGATCTACTAACCTTGAACAGTGATCACTTTATTTCTAGGGATATTCAACGAAGGAAGTCGGTAGATATATTGGCAGCATTGTTGTTTTTATGGGTGTTAAAAAACGGACGGGAGTTGTTTTGGTGCTGGTAATTTCCAAAATATTTTAGTTATTAAGATTTGAATCCGTTCTTCCAAATTATAGTGAGTATAAATAAGTGTTTTCCTAAATTGAAAATAATTCAAATCGAAAGCGTTAACAGTGTTTCAGCCTGTCGAAGAATGTAATCCAGCCAGACATCATGTTCCTGATGCCTGATGATTCAACAGTATTTCCTATGAAAAAATGTGTTTATTACTCGAGTAATAAACAACAAACATCAGTACGCAGATAGAGTGTCTCCAATCATGCTTTGAAAAAATCCTTTGAACAAAGAGCAACGAAAAATGGTGCCAATTCCAGCTGAGTATATGCCCGATTTTTGGGATCAAATTTCAACAGAATGTACCATTCAGTTATCCTGTCTTCTCCCTAATGGAATAGTGATTTTGCTCAACGTTAATTACAATGCCACACTGGCAGAAATCAAGGAGGTTTGTCATCATCTCAATCATCATCATTCATTAAAGTTCCTTTTAAAACTAATGAATAGTGTGGAGTTGTTTTCTTGTCTATATTCCAAGAAATATACCCAACTCAAATAATAAATAACTTTCCCATAGAAATAAGTTGTATAAATCCAGGAGAGATTCAAGTATGAATATTCAGAAAATTACACCAGCAACTTCAAAATGATGTTTTTTAAATTTTAAAATATTACCTTCCAGTGTAGATCATACTAGGTACATCATCTTCCTTTATTTTTGTGGTATAATTCTTGGCTGTATAAATATAAAAGAAAAGCTTCCTGTGGACTTTGACCTGTTGATGTGTTTATCACTGAATGTGACAACAAACTATTATTATTGTTTACCTTTCTAAATATTTTCAAGATTTTAAATAAAAGGAAGTAAACAGCTATTGAATTATCATTATTACTGAAATTCCTGAACACTTATTAAGTACCAAATGACTTCCTTCCATATAACATATTTCACAAGGAGCAAAAGTTCTCAACTTCTAACTTGAACATACCCAATAAAATATTCATTTGTTTATGATTATGTAGGACCTGTGGGAGGAAGCCTCTAAATTTCCTCTCTATGGAAAACTCCATGACATGTCTGTGTACATTTTCACCTACATCAATTCTATGGCTGAGAGAGAAAAACTGAATGATGAATCAAGAAGATTATGTGACATTAGGCCTACTGCAGCAGTACTTTTCATCACTGAATGTAGAGGAGAGAAAGCTGATGATTCTATCAACATTTCTATAGGCCACTTGATTGGAAAAAGTAAGAAAATGAAAATTAATGGGTACATATTTTTTAGCATTCTCCTGCACTTGAATGTTCATCACATTCCTTGAGTAAAAAATCATGTTTCAAAATGTGCCTATAGTAAAATGCTCATAAAATATGAAAATAAACATTGAATTGTATCAATGTATTACATTTTAGAATTTATATAACATAAAAGCTTGTCACATGATTTAATTTAAAGTTTATTGCATTTTAGATCATTTAACAAAAGCTTATTATTGAATAGTAATCTTTTATTTTTTAGTTTTAGTTGAGCATGTTTCCAAGTCTATTCACTTCATGATGTTATTTTTGTATTCTTCTTAAGAAACCCTTTCATTTTATCCCCATATCATGATGGTTAGTAAAAGAATTTTGTACCTCATATTGAATTTAGTGTGAGCCATTTTGTTTTTTTATCATAATCCTCTTAGTAAACCCTTTATTATCTATGCCCAATTCAACCAGACCATAATCTTGAATCTCAGGCCTATTTGGTACTATTTTTAATTTATAAATTTGTAGGTGATTTGGCAAATCCTCGGCAAATCATAGGCTTATATAGAGCTTATAAGAGCTTATCGGCTAGCTGGTAATAAATTTTGCTCTCACCATCAATTTATCTGTTAACAATAATAATATATCTAAACATCATGAACATAATACAAAGGGATTCAATAGAAATTGATCTTCAACAAGAAAATGTCAAAATCCTCCACTCCAAAAACCCAATTATTCTCTTTATTGATAGATGATCTAGATCTAATATTCTCACAAATTCTAAAATTAATATCACATTAATGCACTGAAGTCAATTATTTTTCTTGTTCATTCAGGATTACAAGAATTTGATGCTCTAAATAGCTCAGAGATCAACGATTTTCGGTTCAAAATGAAAAGAATGGGAGATGAATTTGCTCAAGAAAGATCAAAACAAACATGGGTTGCCCGTCTGAACTATCAGTTTCCCCCAAGAATATCAAAACATAGCTTCATTCTAAAGGAAACTCTAAATGAACAAAGGAACATAAAAATAGCAACAAAGTTTGATCTGGAAAATGATTTTTATGACAAGAGAAATGAAAAAGAAGTGATGCAGAGTTCATTCACGTTCAATGTTCCACCTAATATCAAGCCTAAAAAATTGCTGGAGATGATTTTGTTGAAAAGGGCTACAATTATGAATAAGAAGAATGAGAGGGTGAATGAATACATTTTGAAAGTTTGTGGCCAAGATGAGTTCATCATTGGTGACTACCAAATCATTGAGTTCCAGTACATACAAGACTGCATATCTAAGGATGTCATACCCACATTTGTTACCTTACATGTGGACAGAGTACCAGGTAGATAATTACATTTATTCAAGTATTCTTCAAATCATTTTTATAGGGTGTCCAAAAAGTCTGGAAATTATGAAAAACTGAAAAAAAACCTTCTTAATAATCCTATAAGATTCATTATTTTATTTATAATTTTAATTTTTTTTTGTAGTGTTCCACTCTAATGACTATGAATCAATTGATATCTTTGAGAATAGAAAGACCCGTACTACTTCCTATAGTTCCACAAATACTTTGAGAAAGAAGAAAAACAGTGTTTCTTCTTGGAATGTAACAGACAATTTCAGTGTGAAAGTTTGTATGGTTAGCAAATTGAATTGTGATCCCAAAAAGTTATCAGAGGTATGAAATCCATTCCATTTCCTTACTTCAAATTGCCCACCATTTATATATTTCATATTAATTTGAAAATCTAGTTATTAAAGTTTTTGAGAAGTAATTAGGTACATGGTGTCCCACTTGAATGGGTCACCCCCTTTTATCCTCATAATTCTCAACATATTCTGGTTATTCAGAATCTTTTCTGGAATAATTTTTCACGAATTTTTTTTTAATCTGGTCTCACTTTTTCTTTATATTGACAAAATAGAGACATTTTGTCAAATGGAACGATCTATGTCTTTTTCCATAATTGGATAAAGTTCCTATTATTATGGAATGAAATTTAGATCACTTCATTTTGAAAAAATTGACACTTTTTTCTAGCCACCCTGTATTCTGTTGATATGAAGAAAAAGTGAGCACAGATCAAGAATTTCATAAAAAATTATTCCAAAAAAAGTTTTTGAATGACCAAAAAATGTTTAGAATAAAGAGCATAAAGGGGGGGGGGGGATTGACACATTTAAGTGGGACCCCTGCAATATTTACAAAAAAATATTCATGTTATTTCAACTGTCTATAATTAGGTGTTTCCCTGCCTAGACACTGAGAATGTATTTCAGTTAAAATGAAATGGCTACTGTTGATGATTTCAATATTCTTTTGAATATTTTTGGTGAATTGGTGAATAAGATACAGCTCAAAATGTTTGAAAAATAGCTTTATTTCCTTGATCTTCTAGGTTTCTAAAGATACATTTTTTTATATTATCAGGGTTCTGGGTTAGTAGGTATTCAATCACAATATGCAGTATGATCCTTGAAATGTACCACCTCTGTGAAATCTTCATTTTTTCATTGATCTTGATACATTTTTGTATGGACACTTCGATAGGCTTGAATTCCAAGAAGCATTATTAGGAGTTTTTGACCAAAACTAACTATGAATTTTCATTTATAAGCACTTGAAACATATCTTTACCGATTTTTATCATTTCTTCATTAAAAAAAAAAAATCTTGCTTAACCCTGCATTTCAGAATAATAAAAATCTTTACGCTGAAAATCGCTAATATGTTCTTGATGAGTATCTGTGGTTGGACACTTAACAGGCAGGAAAGGTGTATTTTCTCTGCATAGGCAGGAGAAGTTTGTTGATATGCAACGTTCCAAGAAATTTGAATGAAATTGGTAATCAAAATTGACACTGTTATTGGGTGAACATGAAATGATGGAGTTTTCAATAATAAAATTACACAAAATTGGTTTCATAACATTTGGAGGAGAAAGGCAGTCAATCTACTACTTTCCTGCCTAGTAAAACAAATAACAAATCTGTCAATTGTGATTTATTTTCTCAAACAAACTATATTTAAGAATGATGAAAATCGCAAAGAAAAAGCAGTGGCGGCTCCTCAGAGGAGGCAACGGCGTCTGAGCCTCCTCACGAATTTTCATACATTGAATAGTTCAATATACTTGTATAAAATATACACTGAAACAACTAACTTACGTTTGCTTTATCGGTTTTATTTCCTGATTTCAAGTACAATTTGAGAATTTGGCAACTCTTTGGTACTTTGTACCACTTTGTACATCACTGTAACATGGCAACTTGTTGTTGTGGGGAAACAGTTGGAATAATAAAAATACTCAATAAAAACCAGAAAGAATTACAATTCTTCATCAATCATAAAATAATCATATCATATCATCAAATCATTCAATCAACCAAATATACAGTCCACTCACACCAAGGCATCGAACAGCAACAATGCTATTATATTTGAAAGTATTCTGAATAGAATAAAAATTTTGCGACTTGGCAACATCCAACGGAAAGCAGCCTCTGACCAATAAATTCGCCAGAATCGCAATTCGCCAGGGAGCATGTGTGACTAAGATGTTTATAAGTATGGTGTTTGGACTAGGGCTGCGCGATATTGAAAATTGTATATCGATATTTATCGATATATCGATGCATATCGATATATATTGATATATCGATACATATCGCTACATATAATATATTCATATATATCGATATGTAAAATATATCCATATACCTATATTGATTACCGGTGGTGTAACGAAGTAACAAAACTTCATTGTTGATGTGCTCAACATATAGAACATATATATGAATAGCAGTATTATTCAGTGAACGTTTTCCAGAAGTCGTATCAAAATGTGCCCTGCATGATATGTTTTTCTCTTTGATTTTTGTTATTTCCTAGTTAAGGTTGATTGGAAGAAAGCACTCGTCTATTCCTTTAGGGATTAAACTAGTACTGTGTGATATTGAAAACTAGATATTGATATCGATGTATGCTTTAGTATCGATATGTATCGAAATATCGATATGTATCGATATATCGATATGTATATATATGCATACAGGGTATGTCACGACGAGCTTGAACTATCTTCATATCGAGAATCAGTCAGAAGAAATCCATGAAAATGTGCATGCTTATATTTCAAAATACGCTCTCTTCATGTAAAATACTTTCGACAATGCAGTGTTGCCGCTTCTACTAGAAAGTACATTGAACATTGATATTTCAAATAGTACACCCTGTATTTCATCGCATTTTTAGATTCTCCCTAAAGAGCTGATTTCATCAATGTATCACACTTGGGGACAATCGAAAATGATTACAGAGATCAAAATCGAGATTTTTCAACTTTGAGATTTTTTTGTGTCGAAACTATTCATTATCGGTCAAAACGGCTCACATGTCCCTATCTCAACTTTCGATTTACTATCCACTGATATTCAATCGGAACAGATACAGGGTGTTTCAAGATTCAGGATTCTGAGCAACCGGTATCTGTTCCAATTAAATGTCAGTAAATAGTAAATCAAAAGTTGATACAGGGATATGTAAGCCGTTTTGGTCATTAATGAATAGTTTCGACACAAACAAATCCTAAAGTTGAAAAATCTCGATTTTGAACATATCTCTGTAATCATTCCCTAAAGACCCCAAGTGTGATGTATCGATGAAATCAGCTCTTAAGGGAGAATCTAAAAATGCAATAAAATACAGGGTATTCTATTCAGAATAACAAAGTTGTTGCTACTTTTTGACAGAAGCGGCAACACTGCATTGCTGAAAATATTTTATTTGAAGAGAGCGTATTCTGAAATATAAGCATGCATTTTTGTTAGGATCTTTTCCGACTGATTCTCGATATAGAGATAGTGTAAGCTCGTCGTGAAAAGTATAGTGTGCAACATGTGGGGGAAAACACTTTTCTCACCCGTGTGTTTGCATCACTCGCCCCTCAGGCTCGTGCCACAAACTTTCACACTCGTGAGGAAAGTTGAAGTTTTCCCACTTGTTGCACAATATACTATTATAAATGCCTTTGGACATACAGTGTGTCCCACTTACCATGCTCACCATGGGTATCTTTTTAACGGTGAGAGATACGAGGTCGGTTAAATGGCACCAAATGTGGAGTTTGTCAAGGCCAACTATATGAAAAAATATTTTGATGAAATCTATTCGTTTTTGTTTTATACGCAAAAAACAGATTTTGATCATTTTCATGTCTCCTCCATAACTTCTTTATTTATGAAAATATTCAAATAGGAATTTCACATTCTCATGGCAGTTTTTCAAAGTGATTTCGAAAAAAATATGAAATTTATACCAAAGGTCATAGCTCACTATGACTTAGTTACAAATAACTTTTTTTTCTCTTACAGATGATATGTCGCAGTAATAGTTTTGTGTTGATAACAACGGAGTTATCGTCATTTATACAAAAACAAAAAATTATTTGGAAGCCACCATCTTGAATTTATGAATTTTAACAAAAAAATCATGATCTCCGACCTAAAAAACCCCTACTTACCAATTTTGAATGACAATACATTATGGAATTTTTGTTGAAATTAAAAAAATGGCTGCTCCAAGATGGCGGACAAGATTTGGTCCGATTCCATTCAAAATTGGTGAGTGGGGGTTTTTGAGGTCGGAGATCATGATTTTTTTGTTGAAATTTATGAATTCGGAATGGCGGCTTCCAAATAATTTTTTGTTTTTGTATAAATGACGATAACTCCGTTGTTATCAACACAAAACTATTACTGCGACATATCATCTGTAAGAGAAAAAAAAGTTATTTGTAACCAAGTCATAGTGAGCTATGACCTACATTTGAAAAACTAAAGTTGGTGCTGATATCTCAAATTCTAGAAGAGTTGGTATAAATTTCATATTTTTTTCGAAATCACTTTGAAAAACTGCCATGAGAATGTGAAATTCTTATTTGAATATTTTCATTAATAAAGAAGTAACGAAGGAGACAAGAAGATGATCAAAATCTGTTTTTGCGTATAAAACAAAAACGAATAGATTTTATCAAAATATTTTTTCACATTATAGTTGGCCTTGACAAACTCCACATTTGGTGTCATTTAACCGACCTCGTATCTCTCACCGTTAAAAAGATACCCATGGTGAGCATGGTAAGTGGGACACACTGTATATCATTTTGTTATCAGATGGCGGTTGAAATTTGCAGCAGGCTCTTAGTCTATTAAGTCTGAGTATACAACCCTGACTTGCTCTTGACTAAATTTTTTCTTGTTAGATTGGTGTTCAAGCTGGTTTATTTCATGGGGGCAAATCCCTCTGCCAACCGAAAAGAACTCTCGACTGCGCAATAGACGATAAATGCGAATGCAAAATCAACGCAGAGCTAGTATTTGACATTCAGGTATGCAACATACCACGAAACGCGAAACTCTGCTTCGTAGTATACGAAGTCAACAAGTATGTCAAGGGAACCAAAACAAAGAAAACTAAAGATTCCGCCAAGGTAACGCAAAAACGTGTGGTATTCGGGGAGATTATTTCTATGGATGTTATTTGTAGGAGAACAGTATGTCTCACAATCCGCTGGCGTGGGCGAATACTACTGTTTATGATTTCAAAAGTCAGCTGAAAAATGGGGCTATGTCCCTCTACATGTGGGCTTACGCCGAAGATATGACGTCTGATGATGTTCTGCACCCCTTGGGAACGGTAGTTAGTAATCCAAACACTGAATATTCTACCACTCTCACGTTTTTTGTCAAAAGGTAAGGAACGGGTTATGTGATTGAATAAAATATAGTGGGTATTTACAACTTTTCAGTCGAAATATTGCAGAAAATCACGCAAAAATGTGGAAAATACTCGGTGTTTCATTCAAGAATCAGAAGTTGAGGTTACTTTTGCAAAACTTGAATGATTCAATGGACAAAATATAAAAGCAGCATTTTTCAAGGACTATTCAATTTACGTTGAAGTAGTTTGAAAATGTTTTATAGTTTCTGAGTTATTGGGGAGAATTGACCAGAATTGAATTTCAATGAAAAATATAATAATAGCAGTTTTTCTTCTACAAGATTATGCCTCGTGAAATCATTTTCATGTATTATAAATAGCCTTCAATGAAGTTTAATTACTCATGAGGTATTTTGTCAATTTTTTATTCAAATAATTGACTATTAGCTTATTTTAATTCAACAGGCAGTTGATTTTATAATACTGTGTCATTCATAACGTTCGCATCATATGGGAAAAACTGTTGATAACGATTTATTTTGAAATTCGACGAGCGTTAAGTTTTGCTTCCAAAAAGATGAAAAATGGTCTACTCGGTCGGAGTCACGTGACTCGCTACATATCAAAAGTCACATATCTTCGAATTAATAGCTCAAAATAGGCTCATTTGTTCGAATTTCTAAAAAGTTCACAAATAAAAATTGTTTCTTTTCCAATTTTACACAATTTTCTTGAATTTGAACGTTTTTTTGCGTAACTTCCACAAAACTGTGCTAAACTTTGGTTAGATAGGTAAAACAGTTTCATGATATTTTAATAGATGACTTTGGCATCAATTTAGTCGTGAAAAAATCAATTTAAATACATTTTGTTTCTGAGTGATAGACAATACATCAACTTTGCATGAAACATTTATAACAGAAATTTGCCACAGAAACTATTATTTTCTGAAGAAAAACATATTTCTGTTGATAATTAGTGATTGAGAGTTCCTAGCTTGATGAAGCTACTAGAATCAAATAGTTTTGTCTGTGTTAATTTTTTTTTTTATTACAGACTATTGGTAGAAATTGAAATAATATAAAAAACTGGAAGTTTCTATAAAATGTCCAATTCGAGACACATGTGAAAATTTGAAATAGAAACAACTTTCATATATAAACTTTTTTGAAATTTGAACATATAAGCATATTTTCAGCGATTAATTTGAGAAAATGTGTAGCGAAAATCACGTGACTGACCGAATGAATAGGTCATTTTTAATCTTTTTTAAAGCAAAACTTGACGCCCATGTCGAATTTCGAAATGAATTATTATTAAATGTTTCACCCATATGATAATGATGCCGACTTTATGAACGACACTGTATATCATCATTTAGCAAACTGTTTTAATTATTTTTTTCCAGTTTTTTGAAAGATCAAACTATATTATTCCCATCTATAGAGACCATGATAAACATGGCGGATTTGAAAGAAGAAGAAAAAGAACCTGATGACAAGACTGAGGAAGAAATGGCTGCAGAAGTCGCAGCTTGCAAAAAATCGTTGAATGACATAGATAATTTGTATGAAGCCCATGAACAGGTAATATATGAGGTGTTCCATTCCATACACCTACAATACTCTGAAATGGAAGTAAACATCCTATTACATGTTCTAGAAAATATAATTAAGTTGATGAACTTTGAAAAGTGCCCCCCTTTCAAATCTATATATGATTTTTCAACAAAAATATTTAATTCTCGATCTCAAATTTTAAAAAACGATTCATTGAAAAGAAAACTAATGAGATGAAGTATCTTGGGATTTTGTTTGATTATAAATTGAAATGAGACAAACATATAAGAGTATAGAAAATGAGAGATATCTATTATTGAAGCTTGGAGACCTGAGTAGATCCAGGTCCAGATTAACTAACATTTTATAAAATGTGTGATCAAAATGACACCTGATGGAATTATAAAATGTTCAAAATTCGCTTTCAAATTTGAGAAGAGCACAAAACAAGGATTCACAGAGTGACTTTTGATTTTACCACATACAATTTTACTACCCAAATTATAAACCTCTATGAACTTCTTTGGATTTGGTTGGAGGACAATTGAAAATTTCGGGGTTTCCGTATTATCTTCTCGTTATGTGGTGAAGTCTACGATATAATCGATTCATTTTTGAAGTACTGCAAAAAACGTTGATCTGAAGGCACTAAGAGAAAATGTATATGGGGCGTTTGCAATCTAATACAACGAAAATTCAATATGGAATATCCAAAATATTTAGGTATTAGCCATCCAAATCTAAAAAAGCAAGTAAATTAGTAAAAAAATGTTATGCTGGTATCCTACATGGTCCTTCGAGCCGGATCATGTTGGATTTTGCCTACAGAAATATGGGACTGGTTCCCACTTGATACAGCTAGTGTAGTAGTTCAATAACGAAATTATATATTTTTGATATTTTAGTCTTGACATTAGTCTCCTCTTCTTATTTAAAAAAAAAAGTATTTTGAAAATTGAACAGTTCTTTTAAAACAAAACAACAGAAAGTCAAAAACGTAAATAAATGAAACTCATTAACTTATTTGTGTTGACTATTAAAGTGAGATATTATATTATCAATTAAGGAAAACTAATACTCAGAGATCTATTAGAAATTAGACCATATACCAATTAAAATGAAAGGCTGTTCATTTCACATCACACGCCATTATTACGAATTACTCTGAAAGTATCTCCTTAAGAAACACAACATGTGAAATCCCCTTATTATAATATTAAACTCGCGAGATCTCGCCCATTCTTAGGCCGAGATAAATCTCGCTAAAAAGAACGAGATCTCGCGAGAACGAGATTGCATAACTTACGCTCAATATTTTCATTTTTGTTGATTTATGCATTATTTTTTCAGGACCGCAGGAAAATTTGGGCACTGAAAGACTACTGGCGGCAGAATGAGCCCGAAGTTTTGCCTAAATTGCTTTATTGCATCGACTGGGACAAACGAGAAGACGTGAGCCAAGTGGTGGCAATGTTGAAAAAGTGGCCAAAACTGCCGGTAGAGAAAGCGCTAGAGCTGCTGGATTATGCCTATGCAGATCAAGAGGTTAGGAAATTCGCAGTGGAATCCTTGATGGATGTTAGGTAAGTAAAAAAAAACAATGACTTCCTTAATATCTTGTTTGTTTTTTTTTTAGTGACGAAGATCTTTTATTGTACTTACTCCAACTGGTACAAGCAATAAAGCATGAATTGTATCTAGAATGTGATTTGGTGAATTTTTTGATCAAAAGAGCCTTGAGTAACCAACAAATTGGTCATTATCTCTTCTGGCATTTGAGGTAAGTTATGTTGATTATTTTTTCCACTTGTCAAAATGTGACGTTTTTGTTGTATGGCAATCCGTTATTCTAGCCAATTATTCGGTATTATACTGATAACACTGTATGGTCCTCGATACTTTACATTGAACTGTCAGAACAAAACTATAAATAAAGAGTAAAGACTCAACTTCCTTAATTATCTTATGCTTATAGGTATGTGCAATGATTGAATTGATAGTAATTATCACTGAACTGAATAAAAACAATTCCTTTCATAAAAAATTACATTCCTAGGTTATAGTTCAAAACTAGTTTGACTCACCTGCATTAATTATCTTCTTATGTATGGCGATTGAATCAATAATAATGATTATTATTACTGGGCTGAATAAAAATTATCCCTTTCATAAACATAAACAATAACATTCTTAGGTTATAATTCAGTGATGACACCACTGTCACCAGATACTAGTGTCTACTGACAGGACGTAACAAATAATCCAAGCGAGCCAAGTCTACAAAAAATATCCGGCCGTGAACTAAGTGCTTCATAATTCATTAAATTAAAAATGAACACGATGGAATTATGTAGAATTACTCTGATTCGTGAAATGTGTATTTTTCTCACATCAGTGAACAAAATAATCTTCCCTCTAATTTTATCCGATAATTTTCTATTTTCTTCACTCAAACTTTTTTATTCCAGGCAAAATCAGTCAAACAAACTACCCTTAGAACCTCATATGAAAACGGAGGTCAAGATGCTGATCATTTTTTAGGGCGTTCAAGTCGCTTCAACTATACCCTAGTTTTTCTTTTTTTTTATAAGCAGTTTCCGAACAATTGCCGTTTTAAACTTACAGAATTAGATTAATTAGAACACGTCTGCACTGATATCTCAACTGATATGCATGGTTTTCAGGTTGGTTTTGTTGTATTGACCCTTTCAGTCCAAATGGTAGGAAGATTTTGAATGCATTTCAGTGCAGGCATGTTCCAATTACCCCTGTAAGTTGAGAACGACATTTTTCGGATACTGCTTATCAAAAAATTATATGATATATTTGAAATAATGTGAATCTTGACGCCCTTTTCATATAAGGGTAACATCTACCCCTCCTAAGGGGTTGAACCAAGAGGGCTAAAAATATGCATTTAAAGTGTCCCCTTCAACATTGAAATTGACCTATCTTTTCGATTTTCCATTTTATTTACTGGAAGGAAGATAAGGGTGTGAAGTTTTCTAATTGACACGGCATTTTTCCGAAACTGCTCAACAGAAAATGATAAACTAGGGTACCGTTGGAAAGAGAGTTGAACGCCCTTCAAAATGCTGTGCCACTTGACCCCCCTTCCCATTTGAGATTCTGAGGGTAACATCTATCCCTCCTAGAGGGTTGAACCAAGATTGCTAAAAATATTCATTTTAAGTGTCTCCCTTGAAAATAAAATTGACCTGACTTCTAGATTTTTCATATTATTTACTGAAAGGAAGATATTGAGGATGGGAAGTTGAAATGTCACTCTGTATCTCACATCTCTTCACTGTTCATCCGAAAGAACCATCTAAGAAAAAATCAAAAACAAATCAAGTGAAAATCAACATCAATTACTAATCTGACATCGCGGTTGACATTATAAAATTTGGATCCGCATACTACTTCCTACCGCATTGTAAATATTGTTCCTCTGTTCACACTGCACTATAATATACTGATGTTCTCGAACAGCGTGATTTGGCATTATTCGCGATAGAAAATAAACGTACGCCACCTATCGGAGTTTTTGAAAGCTGTCAAAGCGGCTTGTTTATATCGTTTTCATTGGTTCACATTCGTTTTTTGTTCGTACTTATTGGTCACATCCATATATCTACTACTCTATTATATGAAGCATAGCAGTCCTCAAAGCGGGACCAACTTCTGTCTCTATAAGCAAGAAATCGACCAATAGGCGTTGATGCCGACCTATATTCAATATTCAATACCAAGATCTGAAGCAATACTGTTGGATTGAAAGGTGTGAGTTTCGAGATTCCACCGAACTGAATGAAATCATTATCGCAGTTCATTTCATTATCATCTGCAATGGCTCTCTCCTGTCCCTCAAAGTTACTGACATTATGCTTTGCTATATTTAAACCACATTATAAAGGAATAAATCGAAGTTGATGGTAATATACTGTGGTATTATCAACAATTGATGATTTTTAATATTTTATTATGATCAAATAATTATTTAGGAACCTAACCTAACTTAAAATCTGATCCTCACGGCAGTTTCCATCCCATATCGTATAGGCGATGTGCCTTATATAGAAATAGTAGATATTTATTTATTTTTATTTTTATTAATTTTTTTTTCAGTTATTGCATGACATTCTCTTCTTCACTGATACATTTCATACAAATAATATATAAAGTATAATTAATTTTCTAGTAGGAATGAGATGAATGATCAGACAGTAATTCCTGGTATAAGATCATTCATGAAGTATTATCGACTATTGTATAATTGAAATTACAAATAGTGAACAAAACTTACATATCATTAAGATATCTCAAGATAACAGTCATACTATAGTGAACAAGAAGTTCATTTTTTATTCTAATATTAAGATCAATATTTTGTTTATTCCTTTGACGAAAAATTATATATTGAGTCTTATTAGAATTAAGAGAAAGAAGATTGGAATAAAGCCATTTCTCAATTTTTTTCAAGTCCTCATTTGATTTGTTCTAGAACTACTGTGTATGTTTTTATTCTCATATAGAAGCACTGTATCTTCTGCATATATGGTATAGTTTCCTATCAAATTCATTCTTTCAATATTTTGAATGTATAATTGATGAAGAAATGGACCCAACACTGATCCTTGAGGAACCCCTTTGTTTGAATATAGTATCTTAGACTCACAGTTATTAATTTTAGTTCTAATAGTTCTATTTACAAGATATGATTTCAAGAGATCGTGTCCAATTCCTCTGATTCCCATTGAAGCAAGGTTTTTCAGAAGTATATCGTGGTCAACTGTATCAAAAGCCTTTTTTAGATCCATGAAAATTGATACTACATAATTTTCTTTGTCAAGTCTGTCCTGAATGAAATTGATTACTTGTAGCACTGTTGATTGTGTGTACCACTGTTTTCTTGAAATCCGAATTGGTTCATATCGAATCCATCATAGCAATCCGCTCAGAGGTGTTGAAATGTTGCCGTCAGGTGGGGCGACGTGTTATTTTGTATCGCGAATTCTCATGCACTAGGTTTTATGAACACAGTGTAATACTTCAGTGTAAAAGTGTATGCAGTGTGAGGGTTTACGAACAGATCTTAATGTGAGAAAATAATAAAAAAATGTCAAACTCTAGATCGGAGATGCAAGTCCCCGCTGTCTCCGTCCGCTTCGGGCTGATCCTCGAAGCCTATTGCCGGGGCACGCAAGAGCACATGGCCGTGCTGCAGAAGCAGCTCGAGTGCCTGGAACGGCTGAAGAAGTGCAGCGACCTGGTGCGCCAGCGCAAGGATAAGGAGAAGGCGAAGACGGCGCTCAAGGAGTATCTGGGCGAGTCGTCGGCCGAGATGGCGGTCAATCATACGCGGAGCCCCCTCAATCCCAGCTACAGGTGTACGAGGATAAGGTGAGAAAACATTGAGTAGGGTCCCTTGATGCAAATTGACGTATTTGTCAGCTTAACAGGGTACGGATAGATCCTCGTCTCCTCTCACTCTAGAGTGTTTGTGAAACAGTTATATAGTTTCATCCTTATTCAATTCTGGGGATAAACACTAGATTTTTGACATTTGTTGTTTTTTAGGTTATATTGAGATCATTGGCGTATCATACGTAATTTCCATATGGAATTCCTGATTCACCTATTCCAAGATATAGATGAATAATCTTCTAGTTTGAGAGTTTAATACTCCAGCATAATCTTTGCAAGGTAGGGAACATATAAATTGTACTGAAAGCTCAATATATTCCACTAAAAGATACTGTTCTTATACTGTATACCAGGGTTGACTGAATTGACTTAATAAATTCTGATTTCAAGCTGGGCAGCAGTTTATCTATGAGCTGAGCCTTATGATTGAGAAACGGTGAAAACCTCGATGTGAGTATCTAAACTACTGTACTCCAGATACCAATTTTTATTTTTGAATTGAATCGGATCATAATTACAAAATTCGTTCGCCATGTTGGATCCACTATCTTGAATTTCCTAATTTCCCAAAATCATGAATTTCGACCTCAAAAATCCTCAGATACCAATCTTAAATAGAATCAGATCATAATTAGAAATTTCTTTCGCTATATATTGGATCCGTCATCTTGAATTTTCCGTGTTTGGCGAAACAATCATTATCTCCAACTCTGAAAACCCCAAATACCTTCCAATTTTGAATAGAGTCGGATCATAATTACAAAACTCGTTCGCCGTATAATCTTCCTCAACAAGTAAATACCCTTTACATACCTATTATTAAAATTTTGAATGATTTTCTGTAGCGCCCATGGATGTGATGTGACAGCAATGTCAGGGATGCCAGTAGACAAAACTAAAGTATCTAGATCATTAAAAAAGAATGCAGCTATGATCTGTCCGTACCCTGTTGAGATGACTAACGTCAATTTCTATCAAGGGACCCTAGCATTGAGTAGGGTCGATCTGATTATGATTACAAAACTTGTCCGCCATATTGGTTCCGCCATCTCGAATTTCCAAATTCCGCCCGAATTTGCAAATTTTGACGAAATAATCATGATCTCCGATCCCAAAAACCCCCAGGTACTAATTTTGAACAGAGTCGAATCATAATTACACTCGTCCGAGATATTGGATCCGCCATCAGCAGTAGCTGGTACAAAGATAGGCAGTGGCCCATCAGTGGCCAAACTCGGAGAGTACCAGCGGGCAGCGTTGGAGATGCTATTACAATTGTACTGAATCTATTACTATTACACCTTGCTTAGTACGCAAATACGACAACAGATTAAACCTCCATAATCTAGTACGTTCTTCGATTTCCTCCATAATAATGTAATTTATAATGATGATGTTATCAAGAATATGAGTTGACCAACGAATTTGCATCTGAAAAAGACAATTGAAGTGTCTGAGCTTTTTTTCACAATTCACATATCAAACTTTTGATGAATATGGTCCAACCTTAACGTGCTCACTGTATAAGAATTCACCTTCTATTTCTGTCAGAAGTATTTATTTTGTTTCATTTCACATTTTCATTATTGACCGCGTTATTTATTTCGTTCCATTTTCCGTTATAGTAATTATTGAGTCTTTATATTGTTTCAAAACTACCTGAGAATGTTTGATTTTTCAACTAATCCGAAGGCGTCTCTGTTTTGAGGAGCATGGATGATAAAAATTTGGAACGAACGGTAGTGCCAGTTATTGAGTTTCTCAGGTATTAATTCTGCTCCTATTGTTTTGTTCACATACGTCAACCAAGTGGTATTTTTGTCAACATACAAATGAAATACAAATGATCGATTGTTTTTTCCATTCTACATCATCCGATCTCGTTTATCATCTTCGGAGTTTTCAGGTTAGAAAAATGTAGAGTGATGGACAGCAAAATGCGACCGCTCTGGATAGTCTTCGAAAACTCCGACGTATACGGAGACGAAGTGTACATAATTTTCAAAAATGGCGACGATTTGCGACAGGACATGCTGACTCTGCAGATGATCAAACTGATGGATAGGTTATGGAAACGAGAAGGCTTAGATTTAAGGTAGGTAATGATCAGATCATTTCATTTCATCATTATGATGAAATAAAATAGATTTTTGCTTTCATCGAATGTGACTACAGCCAAAGAGATTTCTATCCCCACCAACTTTGCTGTCAGTCTCATGCCAGATAAAGATCTTTGTTTTTTTTAGGATGAATCCTTATGGTTGCATATCATTAGAACATCGTGTTGGAATGATTGAAGTCGTTCTGAACGCTGATACTATAGCAAATATCCAAAAAGAAAAGGGAATGTTCACTGCCACTGCTGCATTCAGCAAAGGACCTATTCTAGGTAATGTGGGGTCTTGACTTTTGATTTTTTCTTATTTCTCATAGTTTCCACTGGATCATTATTATGGTATTATTGAAGTTTTACATGAAATTGTAGTGCCAAAAATTATATTTACTATGCGAAAATCAATTACAAATCTTACAATGTCTCATTTTTAGCATTTATTAATTTTTGAGAATTCTTGTGCATCTCTGATTTGTGTTTAAAAATGTGGAAATTCAATCAGAACATGAATATATTATGCAAAAAAAATTACAGAAGAGAAATACTGATTAAATGTATATTTAAAGAGGTCAGAAAACAAAATGAAAGTATTGGAGGAATATAACTTCAATTGATTGGTTTTTTAGCTTGGTTAAAAGACTACAATACCTCAGAATCTGCACTGAATAAAGCAGTGAACGAGTTCACTTTATCTTGTGCAGGATATTGTGTAGCGACATACGTTCTGGGCATCGCCGATAGACATTCCGACAACATTATGGTGAAGCAAAATGGACAGGTAATACAAATATACAAGAGGATCCAAAAATTCAATCATCCTTGAAAATCTGTGATATTTAGTGATGTCACACTGCAGATTTCACTATATTGAGTTGATTTAACTGAAGTTTTTGTTTGAGTTCCCGTTGAGCACCCAGTATAAGAATTTAAGAATAACATATCTAGAATCATCCAAATCTAGGCGTTTTTATTTTATTATCTTACTAGCTGATCTGGAAAACGTTGTTTTGCTATATACATTATTTCAAGAAAATATGGTTTTAGTTGAATATTCATCAACACACTTTTATTATTTTATTTTATACTTTTTTTCAAACCTCCCGATCATAGTTATAAAACTCGTCCGCCATATTGAATTTCCTATTTTGTTGAAGGAATCATGATTTCCGATTCCGAAAACCAATACAGAACAAATTTTGAGCAGAATCGAATAATAATTACAAAACTTGTTTCGCCATATTGGATCTGCCATCTTGAATTTTCGAATTTTGATGAAAGAATCATAATCTTAGACCCCGAAAACCCTCAGATACCAATTTAGAATAGCATTAGATCATAATTTCAAAACTCGTCTGCCATATTGGATCTGCCATCTTCAATTTTGTTATTTAGATGAAGGAATCATAATATCCGACCCCGAAGACTCCCAGATTACAATTTTGAATAGAATCTGACCATAATTACCAAATTCTTCCGCTATATTGGATCCGTCATCTTGAACTTCCAAATTTTGTCGAAATTATCATAATATCCGACCCAGAAAACCCCCATATACCACAGGAATAGCATCGGATCATAATTACAAAACTCGTCCGCCATATTGGATCCGCCATCTTGAATTTCCAATTTGTAAAATAGCCAACGACCGATTCTCAGACCTAACGAATATTTTTATACCAATCGGTCAAACCGTTTCGGAGAAGTTTGGCAACAAACGCCAGTATTCTTAAATTTTCTAATTTTTCGCACATTTTTCTCAATTTTTTCTTTCATGAGAACCAAAGAATTAGTGAAATCGGTCCAGTCGTTCACTCGTGATGGCGTGACCAAGAGAAATAGGGATTCATTTTTATATACCGGGTGTCCTAAGTTATCGTATACAGGCATTATCGCGCTTATTTGACAAGGTAATTGAAAAATTCAAAAACTGCATTGAATGGCATTGAAGATCCTTCCTAATGACTAATAACTATTACATTTGACAGTCCTCTAGCAGCTACCCTTCACTTTTAATTCAATTAGCACCCCATGTATATTGTCATTGGAAATTACGTGTCATTCAATTTGGAATACAACGATAGCGTATACTTTGTATTTTTTTCATTGATTACAACAAAAATATCAACATTTTGTGACTTGTTTCAAGTTACTTAATTATACTTATAAAAATGAAAAATCCGATGCTTACCAAGTCAAAATAATTTTGAACACTTGCTGTGATTTTTAGTTCATTTTTTGATTTGCATAAAGGTATTTTAGTTGAAATTCATACATTAAATGTTGAATACCAAGTATATGCTATCATTGTATTCCTTAAGGCTGAATGCCAATATCTATAATATCAAAATATTCAGAACCAGTCCTATATTTTCACAAGAATGTTTGCAAATCTTCGCAAAATCAACACCTTTTTCACTGTATGACACATAATTATGTTGTTAACATATTTGTCATCAAATTTAACAGGTGTCATACAGCCTCTATTCGCGATAGAAAATAACACGTAGCCCAACCTAACGGCAACATTTCAACACTTCTGAGCGGTTTGTTTTGATGGAAGTAACCAATAAGCAGAAACAAAAAACAAATGTGAACCAATGAAAACAAAGTAAACAGGCCGCTTTGACAGCTTCCAAATACTCCGATAGATGGCAAACTCTTATTTTCTATCGCGAATAGGATGACGTGCAATTTGAAAATGAAATGAAAAGTGGGGGAGAGCGGCCAGAGAACTGTGAAATATGATAGATTTTTTTATATGTCACTGCGAAGGTACTTCAATGCCCTTCAATGCAATTTTTGAAATCTTGTCAAATGAGCAAGATATTGCCTGTATACGATAACTTGGGACACCCGGTATATAGATTATATTCATCAAAATTTCTATGAAATCGCAAATTCTGTCATCTTTCATTTTTAGATTACTATACTGGGTGTTCAAGAGGTATTCAATAGTCTGTTTGATGTTTATCAGGAAAGTTTACGATTGAAATTTTTTTGGTAAAATGGTTCTTATTTTTCAGCTTTTCCATGTTGATTTTGGTCACATTTTGGGTCATTTCAAAGAGAAATTTGGGTTCAAGAGAGAAAGGGTGCCTTTCGTGTTGACGCACGATTTTGTTTACGTCATAAACAAAGGGCAAAATTCCAAGGCACTGGAATTCAAGATTTTCCAAGAATACTGTGAAAAAGTGAGTGAGTCGCATATTGCTTGAAGATTGATTCACGAAATTTGTAAATTTCTAGGCATTTATGATATTGAGGAAACACGGAAATTTGTTCATATCACTGTTTGCCATGATGATATCCACTGGTCTACCTGAGTTGAGCTCTGAAAAAGACCTCAATTATTTGAGAGATACGTTAGTAAGTGAATAACTGTTCATTCTTTCTATCATCAGTAAAAATGCAAGTTCATTATGAAATTTGAAGCTTGAAGCATATTGAAACAGCTTCTATTACAATGCAAAAATGTTGTTTTCAAAGTTGGAACCATTGACTTTTGTGTTGCAATTTGTATGCACATATAGGGAATTCCTTTGGTAAAACTGGCTCACACTGAGTGCTTATTTTGGTAAAACTGGTGCCGGGTTTTGAATTCCATTGGAACTGGTTCACATTCCATCACATTCCACATTTGGAGCTCAGTGCAACAATTCTCGCACGAGCTCTAATTCGCGAGATTCACGAAGTGGGCGACATCTAGGTTACATAATACTAACTTCAAACTGGGGGAAAACAAACTATTGTCTAAGGATACAGTGCATAGACTACATTGCATTCAGCTTGTTGTAGCTGTAGTCAAACTTGTCAATGACATAAAGTGTTGGCACTGTTGGTAGTGATAATGGTTGAGTTGGTTAATTTTTTTTTACATTATTACATTTTTATTAGCTCAGTGACCGGTGAAAAATTGGAGATAGTTGAAACAATTCGAACTAATTATGACGAGCAAATCAATTGACATATAAAAGAACAGCTACAACATGTTTACAATACCCAGATTGTCCTGCTTTGCATGAACAAATACAAATTCATTGTTCTACAGGAGTTCATCTGGACCCCAACTTCAATTTTACTTCATGTGGGGAAGATTTCATTGTCGAAGTTTGTAGAAGAAGTGCAAAAATGTGCTTTTTGTTGAAGTCTTCTGCCTCACACAAAATCACATGATTAGCACGGAGAACTGCTTCTCCTTCCACTACTGGTCGGCTTTTTCCATCTAAATAGAGCAAAATATCTGCCAAAAGAACATCTACAACAGACATTATTACCGTTTTCGATCGAATATTGACAATTAATGTCAAGAAATTTGAAAACATCACTCTTATGGCACTAATGGGATTGGGGCCAGGTAGCCGTGCGGACAGAGTGTCTATATTCTAATCCGCATTCGCTCGCCGGTCGTGGGTTCGATTCCCGTCGACTGCAGAAATTTTTCTGATGGCCCAAGAAAGTGTTTGGGATCACACGTTAAAAGGTAAGGCCCCCGTTATTCCTTGCTCGCACAAGACTCTCGAAGACTTCTGAGGGTTGCTCGTAAGGGGGGCAACCGAATGACGGATAGAACAATTTCAGAACAATTTTAGAACAATTTTTTAGTCAATTGAGTGAGGATTAAGTTTGTTTTCCCCCAGTTTTGACGTGGCTTTGACATGGAACGATGAAAACCGAGCGCCACCTGGTAACATTGATTTTCGCGAATAGGACGTGCGATGACAGTGCTGTTTTAAAAATGGCGGAAACATTGAATATGAATTGCTTAGAAGCCAAATCGTTAGTGGCAATCTAATCATCATCAAATGGTGATGAAAAGATGGAGGTTTCAAGAAAATAAAGGAGATTACTTCCCAGAATTCATAATTTTGTTGAAAGTGTTCTGCACTAATTCAATGATGAAGAGGTACTTATTAAAAAAAAAAGTGCTCAAAATTATTTCCATGAAACATCTACTTTGTTTTTAATTGAAGTTAAAAAAGAATTTCAGGATGCGGCCAAGTTATAAACAATGACAAACCAACTCATACGATTTAACCTCCAACAATATTTTTTATATAATACTAGCTGAACAGGCAAACGTTGTTTTGCCAAAACATTATTTCTAGAAAAAATGTTTTTACATAAATATTTATCAAAGAACTTTCATTATTTTATTTATACTTCTTTTTAGTTCGGCTATCCATGAAAACGGGATTTTTTAGTTTTTCAAACTATTCTACTTATTCTCTACTGCTTTTTAGTTCCGCACTCTATATCTCTTCATTTTTTCATTTATTTACTACTCACTTCTTTTTAGTTTGGCTATCTATAAAAACGTGTTTCATTATCTGTTCAAACTACTATTTATAGTATTTATTACAATAGCTGATGCTGATACCTGGCACACGTTGTTTTGCTATATACATTTTCTTCTAGAAAATATTTTTTCAGTTAAATATTCATCAACACTTATTATTTTGTTTTGAACTCCTTATTAGTTTGGTTATCCATGACATCGTATTTCATTAGTATTTCAAACTACTATTTTTATTTTTTACTTCTATTCAGTTTGGCTTCGAGTTAAGCTATCTATAAACGCGTGTTTCATTATAGTTTTTCAAACTACTATTTATTACACAGCTCTTTCATCATATTGGATCCGCCATCTTGAATTTCCCAATCTTAAAGAATAAGATCATAATCTCCGACCCCGAAAACCCCCAGATATACAGATTTTGAATAGAATCAGATCATAATTACAAAACTCGTCCGCCATATTGGATCCGCCATTTTGAATTCCCTAATTGTGACGAATAAATCATAATCTCCGACCCCGAAAACCTCGAGATACCAATTTTGAATGGAATCTGACCATAATTACAAAACTCGTCCGCCATTTTGGATCCGCCATCTTGAATTTCCAAAATTTGACGAAAGAATCATGATCATCGACCCCGAAAACCCCCAAATACCAATTTTGAATGAAATCGGATAACAATACTCGTTTGCCATATTGGATCCGCCATCTTGAATTTTCGATTTAAAAAATAGATTACGACCGATTCTCATACCTACCGAATACGCACAAAAAATTTCATACGAATCGGTCGAGCCGTTTCGGAGAAGTTCGACCACTAACACCGTGACCGGGACAGGAGAATTTTATATTCGCGATATTCACGAAGAGGGCGACATCTAGGTTACATAATACGAACTTCAAACTGGGGGAAAACAAACTATTGTCTATGGATAAAGTGCATAGACTACATTGCATACATCTTGCTGTAGCTGTAGTTGTCAAACTTGTCAATGAAATAAAGTGTTATCACTCTTACACATTACACAAGCTAATGGCACTAGAGTGAGGATTGAGTTTGTTTTCCCCCAGTTTTGACGTGGCTTTGACATGGAACGATGAAAACCGAGCGTCACCTGGTGACATTGATTCCCGCGAATATTAGATTATTTCGTATTCCTTTGGGAATGCACCAGAGTTTACATTTTGGAGAGAACCAACGTAGTGCGGATGCAAAAACTGTTGCAAGCTAATAGTTCTTTCTGCTTTCTGCTTCTTCTATATTTTTCAACTCATTAGGTAAGGAGTTACATAAAATTATCCCATTATGGAATTGTTTAACAACATTTGACTTATAATTATTTGTTATCAATAAATTATATATCGAAGACTGGAACCTTTGGCACAATAATACACTACACTGTTTTACCACTAATCAAACCGATTTTTTAACCGCTTCCACATGTGTTTCGCTAACTATGTTAGCATCTTCAGGAGAAGATTGAAACAGTTTTAATCCCCGCTACCTCCCGCTATACATATTGATGACCATCATAAATAAGTGGATACAAATTTGACACTACAATCATTTTGTGGAAGAAAAAAAGCATGCCTTGGAATGAGATACCGCCACTTACTGACAAGAATTTCTGGCTTCATTGCTCTCATAAGTATGGTATACCGTCTTAGTGTGAATAATCAATGGTTTCAACCAATTTTTCACTCGAAAAGTACTATGGCACCAGGTGTGGTATTGATATATTGATAGTGATCGGAAAAATTGAAAATTTTCGTGACCGTAGACTTCTGTCTCTGTGATGTCAGTAATTTCTCGAAAACATTGGTCATTGAAAAAGAAGTAATGGTAATTTTTTCCTCCTTTTTCAGGTATTGAATAAAACGGATGAAGAAGCGTTATTGCATTTTAGGTCAAAATTCGATGAAGCTCTTTCAAACTCCTGGAAAACTTCTGTAAATTGGGCCACCCACAATATAGCGAAAAATAATAAAGCATAGTTGTAAATTAATTTCATTGCATTGCCACACTGAAAAAAAAAAAAGAAAAGTGCCAACGTGTTGCTAGGGTAATAAGTTATTTATACAGTGTGTTATAAAACGACTAGGGTATTTGTAAAGTGATGATTTGGAGACTGTGGTTAAGTATAAAAGGTCTAAAATATTTTCAGAAAAACAGGATCATATTCTAAGTCATTCAAAGTTTTCAAGAAAATTTCAAGAAAAAACGGAATATTATCAATTTATAATCACAATCAATGTTTATATGTGGTTAATACATATACATGGTGGGCTAATTTTGATGTTTGTATAAGGTAACAATAGGACAAAAAATTGCTTGTTTTTTGTGCCTCATGTACCTTATAAAAACATAATATAATTTTCCCACTGCACAGAATTAATTCAAACTAAAAAAATAAAAAACTTATTGACATTTTACTTGAGCTCCATTCTCTTTGTTGGTCAGGTTTTTTTAATATCCTTGTGTTTTCTGTTGATATAATTTAGTCTTTCTGTTGACTATAGGTTATTTGTAAATATTTACGTTTTTGTGATTCAAAATCGAACTGCTGTGCAAGAAAATGTATTATCTAAATATATTATTTTGTCCTGTACTATGAGACTTTTTGGTTGACAGCCAAGGTATATCCATATATTTATTGGCTGTGAGGACAATTTTTCAATTGTTTAAGTATGATTTCTCTTCCTTTTACTTTCTCATTTTGAATTAGATCAATGATAATTTTCATCCATCAGGAGTTTTTATGTTCATATTATGCAAATTTACTGTTCACATTCACTGTATTGTGCCTATTTTAAGCAATTTGCTAGCAATTTTTTTGTATATATATGGTGTATCAACAAATCTGAAATATAATGCAATCTTAAGATACATTTTCATGATGTAATAGGTACTCAAGTATTTTCCAATTGAAGTTGTGTTCATGATTTATTAAATAAAGACAGAATTGAAAGTCTATAAAATAAATGATTTCTTTGTAAACTGTGCTATTGTTTATTTTGTGTTGAAAAAACTACTGATTGAAGAATGAACGATGTTCATCAACTTTACAAATCAAATATTATCGAGTTGACCTTTGAGCCCTTATCACCCCTTATAGCAGTTTTCTACCAACCTAATAAATATTTTTGTGAATTCGGTTCATGACTCATAGATGGCGAAACTACCTTCAAATCAAGGTTGGTAGAACTGATGATTATTTGTAGAGGAAGGTTGCCTCGATCAGAAAACGCGAACACGGGAGTCGAGAAGTAGTAATACTAGTAATTCGTGATGTAATCGCATCCAAAATTTCATGTTTCATGTTGAGATCATTTTGGAACGTAGAATGTATAATCCTCTAGATCACAGCTGAATAGGTATAGAAACACATGACTCCGAAATGCGAAATGAAATTTCCGATAAGATTACGTCTCTCACTGCGTTTTGCTGTCGGCGGTAACGGTTTTGCTGATGAGGTAACTTTCATCAACCTGAAAGTTGTTATATGATTCCGAGTTCTTCTAATACAAATAATCAAGGATCATTGATTCTACCAACCTCTGTCCTACTAAAAGGTTGGTAGATCTGATAATTATTAATTAGCAGTTCTACCATTTCGATGGATAAAAATATATATAGACTGAGCTGATATTCCGTTTTCTTCTGAAGTCGATACAGTTATATTATTATTATTTTATTTCTATCCACCTTGGAAGAAATGTTAAAGAACTGACTGGAAATAAAAGATTTTTTGAATTTGGCGCAATAGCGGTTGGAGGGGAGAGCACGATGATTTGCTGAAGTACGCGTCACGCTGTCAACACGCATGCCAATTGCGAAAAAGAAAAAAGTCATAAAAAAAGAAGTTGATGATGATAATGGCGTCCTGTTGTCAGGATTGTTGTCGAGAATAATTCAAAATCTTGAAATTTCGCATGATTGATGCTCCATCTAAAATTATGAAATAATAAAAACAGATCTCTATAATCAGTCTTGAATAATTAAATAAATATTTTCGAAAAATTCGAGCTACAAACCTCAAAAAGACTCGAAAGAACTATACTGCCAGCTATGGGCCGAGTAAATTTGATGGAATCAGTTGTGTGAGGTGTGTTAGTGCGCTGAGGTGCAAATTACGAGTTCGATTATTGTTAGGGTAAGTGTCTTGTTTATTTGCTTGCATTATTTCACGCTTTCGTGCTTTTTTCCTGTTTTTATACAAAATTTGACCCACCCAAAATACACACAAAATCGCCATCGTCATTTTCATTTGTTCAAGGTCACGGACGTCAAATTAACGCAACTCATCCAAATTTCGTTTGGAGAAGTAATATTTCCCAGTGATTAATCTATGAACACTCTAGAAAGTATTTCTCAAACGAAATCGCTTGTAAATATTTACCCCATGTCGGCTGTCCTGTCGTCCTCGCCCTGTCGGTGATGGTTTCCCCATCATGCATGCCAACATAAATGTCAACATAACCAAAAACCAAATAAATTGTTCAAATTTTGAGTATGTGGACTTTTCCTAGGACTAAACTGCCTACAGGCAAACCAGCACGGTATACTATGTGTTGGCCAGTGATAGTGATTAATCCGTAAAATGGAAAAGAGCAAACATGGCAAACACAGTAAGGAAAAATCCAAAAAATCCAAACGGCGTAGACACAGAGAAGAAAACGGTTCACTGAATGTTTGCATTGGGACAGTGAGAACTAGGCTAGTAGAGTATTCCGATGTGAGTTCTGAAGATCTGTCTGGCCCTGAAGCTGGAGAAATACAGAGTGGTGAAGAGGGTAGTTTATTGTTGAGCGAAGATGGTGAATTAGATGTTGAAATTGACACAATGCAGAGAAGTAGTCACCGTAGCAGGTACTCCCACCTTGAGGATGATATGTACCTCTCAAGAGAATCTTCACTCATATTGGTTTCACCAGGTTAGATTTCCTGTAGCACTGTTAGATCAATAATAGTACCTCATTGGTTATTTGTTGTTTGTTTGTATGGTACTAAAACTCAGCTTATTGTATGAGGAACACAGTTTATTTTGTGAGATGAAAATGTTTGAGTGAGTGATTGAATTAATTTATAGTTGAGATTAGAATTTGTTGAACAGTTGAACATTTGTTCAGCATTCCATAAAATTGCATTAAGTATCTCCTACAAAGACAAAAGTTCATTTATTCTGAATTGGGATATACTCACCACATTGGGTGATTTTTTTTCATTCATCAATATTATCTTTATTTTCATTATAAATTACTAAATTTCACTGATATGATTATTTGTAATCCTAAATGGGCATGATGTTTCAGTTATTTCTTAGTTTGCTATGGTTTACTTCAATTTGCCAGTGATAGATGTTTTCCTCTGTTTGTATTTGTCTGTTCATTTCAATGTGTTTAATCCTTTTTAACCCAAAGTTTTACTGTTTGATGAGGTTAAACTGTCTGTAATAGAGAAAGAGAATTCTGTTTTCAAAATTTCTGCATTATAAGATATACTCTGTTTCATTTCCTTTTCAATAATTGAGATACCATTTGTTGAAGTTTCAATATTATTCATATTGTTCTCTATATGGGCACATTTCATATAAATTATCATTTACAATTACATGGTAAAGGCTTTATGTTTGCATTATATGTAAGTCATATTAATGTTTGTATCATATAACTATAGGAAATACAAAAAAATTGAAGTGATCTTTTCAATCTCCCTTTTTGAGATAAATAGGTTAGGAGAGAATAACTTGAAGAGTTCAAGGCACTTTTTTTGAGTAAAATCCAGTGGTATTGAGGAAAATTTGAAAAACAGTCCCAATTTTGGGTTATGGCTTATGGCTTGAGGATCCATTCTGTTCATGGGAGTCATATAGTTGGACTAAAGTTAATTGAAAGGGATTATTTTTTATTTTTCTAATTACATATAATAATTTGTCAGGTATCTTTCTAATCAGTCTTTAATAGCAAAAATAATATTTTACTACATTACAAGAAATAATAGAAATATGATATTATGTTAGAAAACTTCATCAAAATTTACACATAAATGAATAAACACTGTCATAGATGGCACTAAAAAGCCTTCTAAAGTAATCTATTTAAACATTATTTTCACTAGTAGATACCTACACATTGAAAACAACCTGATGATACATGGTTATAAAGAGTGAAAGATATCATTTTTAACTAAATCTGATTTCCATTTGAAATAATGCAACTTCACACCATAATTCAAAATTGTATCCTTTTTTCAAATTTCCTCAACTCCACTGGATTATACAGAAAATAGTGTCTTAACAATATGAGCAAATGTTGATTCTGCCAGTGAATTTATCTAAAAAAAGATCCAGATTATCACTTATATTATTTTTGAATCTCCTATATATTCTGAGTATACTATACAATTATTGATTTGATCACCCATGATGTGATAAAACTTAGAACTTTTGGTAAAACAGTTGCAAAAATGTACATCAATTGAGAAAAAAAAGGGTAGTTTATATTTGATTTATTATGATTTGTTGAACTCAGATATTTTCAACTCATATATTTTTGTTGAAATTCTGTACTTGAGCTACAATATAATATATATTGTTTAGGCCGTAGACATCGCCTAGACCCTTCTATGATACCAAGGTCACCGTCACCGGCCCTGCTTGCAAGAGAAAGACAACATTCAATTTCCTCCCACTCCTCTCGCTCCAGCGAATTGAAAGCCGTCAAACACCGGCGAACAGTCGAAATATCCCCGGAAGAATATCAGCCTCCCGCCAATTCGCCCCCTTACGCCGAAGACTACGAGCCTGTGGACAAGAAAAAACGAAAAAAGAAGGAAAAGAAGCACAAGAAAGATAAGAAGTCTAAGAAAAAGAAAAAGAAAAAACACAGGTATAGTTAATTAATTTCTCATCCATTAATGACAACCTGCATTTCTGTGTTGTTAATTCTTCATGGCAATTACAATTTGGTAATATAAAACTATTATAAAATGTTCAACCTCCAATATTTTATAACCAGCTGAACTGAATATCAACAGCCTATATATTTTTGGAATCAGAGAAGAAAGATCTTCATTTAAAAAAAAAATATTATAGACTGTTCCATTGAAAATAAGGAAAGTTGGTACCCATTTCTTTTATCAGCATATTCATTTGTTTCACCTCCTACAATTTTCTGGAAGTTTTTCTATGATGAACCCTGCAGAAGCTGTTCAATACAGAATGACCCTGTACAATCAACAATATTTTCGTTCACATTATATGCCTTGCAGATTTTTTTAAGGCTTAGTATTGTAAAAGCAGGCCCATTCGAAGCTATGCATTCATTTGTTATATGTGATGTATGGTCAAAATGGGGCCAATAGAAAAGTCCTGTCTATGGTCACTGGTTATTATCATTACAATATTTTCCCAGTATCACCCAAACATGAGACATTTAAAAAATTGCTGAATCTTCTACCTGATCCATATAGATATTCAAATGAAGGTTCACTAGATTTCTAATTACAGGTAAATTATGACATTTATTCCAACTAATTCTCATCAATAAATGATTGATGGTTGATTGATATATTGATTGATTTATTGACTGATTCATTGATTAATTTATTGATTTATTGGTTGATCTATTGATTGATTAATCTACTGATTGATTTATTGATTGCTTGATTTATTGATTGATTTATCGATTGGTTTATTGATTGATTGAGATTGATTTATTGATGTATTGATCATTTCAAAAATAATGTATTAATTGATTTATTGATTGATTGTATCATTGTATGATTGCTTGATTCATTGATTAATTGATTGATTGATTGATTTATTGATTTATTGATTGATTTATTGATTGGTTGATTAATTGATTGATTTATCGATTGATTTATTGATTGGGTTATTTATTGATTGATTTATTTATTGATTGATTTATGGATTGATTTATTGACTGATTATTTTATTGATTGATTAATTCATTGATTAATTGATTGATTTATTGATTGATTTATTGATTGATTTATTGTTCGATTTATTGATTGATTAATTGATTGATTTATTGATTGATTGATTTATTGATTGATTTATTGATTGATTTATTGATTGATTGATTTATAGATTAATGTATTGATTGATTGATAAATTGATATATTGATTGATTTATTAATTTATTTACTGATAGATTTATTGATTGATTTATTTATTGGTTATTTATTGATTGATTTATTGACTGATTCATTGATTAATTTAGTGATTTATTGGTTGATTTATTGATTGATTCATTTATTCATGGATTGATTTATTGATTAATCGATTCATTGATTTATTGATTGATTTGTTGATTGATTCATTTGATAATATATTGATCGATTTATTCATTGGTTTATTGATTGATCAACTTTTTGAATGATCAATTCATTGATTGATTAATTTATCGATTGATTTATGATTTTTTGGTTGATTCATTGATTGTTTTATGTTTAATGATTTATTGATTGAGATTTATTTGTTAATTCATTGATGAATTGAATTAATGATTTATTGATGTTATGATTCAATGATTCAATGATTTGATGATTTAATGAATAAATGAATAAATGAATAAATGAATAAATGAATAAATGAATAAATGAATAAATGAATAAATGAATAAATGAATAAATGAATAAATGAATAAATGAATAAATGAATAAATGAATAAATGAATAAATGATTTAACGATTTAACGATTCAATGATTCAAGGTTAACTCCGTAAAGTTGTTCCCAGTTTATTCAAAATACCTATCTGTATGTTCCAATGTATATTTTGTAAACGTTTCTGAATAAATAATAATTATCATTATTTGATTTAATGATTCAATGATCTAATGATCTGATAATTTGATGATTCAATGATTTAATTTTATGATTTAATGATTCAATGATCTAATGATCTGATAATTTGATGATTCAATGATTTAATTTTATGATTTAATGATTAAACGATTTAATGATTTGATGATTCAATAATTTAATGATTTAATGATTTGATGATCTAATGATCTGATAATTTAATGATTCAATGATTTAATGACTCAATGATTCAATGATTTGATGATTTAATGATTTAATGATTTAATTATTTAATGATTCAATGATTCAATGATTCAATGATTCAATGATTTATTGATCTAATGATCTAATAATTCAATGATTCAATGATTGATGGATTGCGATCGCAGATCGAGGAGCACCAGCTTGGAGAGCGCCGCCAGCGAGTCGGCCGGCTCCGCTCTAAGCTCGCCGGTCAAGACGCCCCCGAAGCCGGAGGAGCCGCCCCTCTCGGACTGGGAGCCGCCCAGGGAGCGGCACCACCACCACCGCGACAGGGCGGGTTCGAAGGGCGGCGTGGCGCCCGAGGCGATCGACACGAGCGCCTGTTCGCCCGTATCCAACGACAGCCACATAGGTGATATTTTGTTCTTCTACAGCCGCCAGAGTTGCAAACAATCACGATTTTTTCAATGAATAGATATCTTTTTGATTTAATCATGATTTTTTCCGAATATGAAAATAATTAACTTCAAAATTACTTTTCCTTTCACAAATCATTTTTCTCTATTCACTCGAAAATATTTATTGCCTCCATTTACAGCTAGAAAATCTCAGCAACATACAAAAAAAACTTGTGTTCACATGAAAATTCTACACCAGTAATTTTTACCCAACCAAATTGTGTTTCTTTGACAAATCATCATAGCAATGTATATATTTTGGTGAACTTTTTTTTTCTTAGGTAAAACGAATTAAATCAGAACTTTTTGACATTTCATGACAGAATAATATTATAAATTTCTACTGAAATTGATATATTAAATGGAAGAATATAATATGTTATCTTATCCTTGTTACATCCTGAACTGGTATTTTCCTGCAGCTTCAATAGGTGGAAATCAAAAATTTTTAAGCTAGGAATCCATTGGTGCCGAAACTGCCATGCAATCTGAATTTATTCATGAACCCATATGAAAATCACATAAATAAATTGATTCCAAATTCAATTTTCAAACAAATTCTTACAGAATACCACACCAGCGAAAATTTTCGGCAGCGTGCCGCAGTTTTTTCGCCAAAGCAAGAAAATTCGTTTGTCTTCAGATTGTGTGGTTAAATTAATATTTAATTGTATGTAAACACTTAGTTTAAAATAAACTATCTTGCTTTTTTTATTTAAAATTGAAGAGATCAGTTGATTTAAATCATGATTTGTAAATTATTTTCCATATTGAAAATATGAATTGAAACAATAATTGTGCTCTAGACAAGAGTACAAGACATACACGTATTATAAATTGCTCCTCTAAACGTGTCCATAAGTGAAGTAGCTGAGTGAGTTTTGTTTCCTGTCCTATATCATTGCACGCGGAATGAAATTCTGCATCTCCTGAATGTATTTATGATCTCCATCGACCTACGTACATGACAATAATTGCATACAAAGCCTCGAGTATTATATATGTGATTGAAGAGTGTAGTCATAGTGTACCTATATTTGTTAACAAAAAGCAACGGAACTCTGATAAACGCCTTAGTACATGGGCCAGTGTGATAAATTCAAGAAATGAGTGATCTTACCAAGGAATATGTTGCCAAAATGTTTCACGACCTGACTACCCAAATCCAGCTTCAAAATAATCAGCTTGCCACGCAGATAAGTGATCTGAGGGATGAACTGAAAAATTTCAAGGGGCATGTTGTCAATAACATAAGAAACCTGGAAGAGCAGAATGAAGGTTTGAAGCTCGAAACTCAAGCTCTGAAAGAAAGATTACAGAACACTGAACGCAAGGCGAAGAAATATAATCTTATAATCTATAACCTTCCTGGAACTAATCCTTGCAGTCTAGTTGTTAAGCTATTCCGAGACAATTTGAACGTTAACTGTCAAGAGGAGGACTTCAGGGATGTCTATAGATTCAACTCAACGAATGAGAACAAAAAGCCAGGACCAATTTTGGTTGAATTCGTATCCAATATACTTAAAACAAAAATTCTTAGTGAGGCGAAAAAGTTGAAAAATACTGGAATTTATATCTCTCTTGACTATACTCCTGAGGACTACCAGAGAAAGAAAGTTCTTCTTGCGTATCAGAAGACCGCCAGAAGTAAAGGAAAGACAGCTAGCATCAAAGGACAGTCATTGGTAATCGAAGGAATAACTTATACACTTGATGAACTTACATCGAATGAAGAGTCAGTAGCCGTAGCCGACTTAGACGAACGTTCTGGAAGCAAACAGTTAGATGATACTGTCTTCAAAGTAGACTCGAAGAAACGTATCCAAGAAAGTCAACAACAGGCAGAGGAATATCAACCAAGAAAGCAGAAATACCTTAGATCTACGTCTACCTCTAACAAATCAAAATAGTCGGTAAATTTGTTTTCTTTTTGTATCTTTCATATTTATATATATTCTCTAATTTAGCGTATGCACTTTATATTCATCCGAAATTTCCCATTGTGAGTTGTATTTCACTATCATCTCCAAGCAGACGTTACACATCTCTTTACAATATTATATTTACTTTCTGATTTAAGCGCCAGTACTATTTATTATCAGAGATTTATACTTATCTTCGAATATATATCTTTTTACGTTCCCTCACTTTTTGTACTCGGTCAAGTATTTGTTCTTCTACGATAAGTAGGTATTGGTTGATACATATACATGGTGATCATTTTTATCCCTAATTCGATTGAAACTGAGAATATCAAACCGAAAGTCGTTCGTTCTTTTAGATTAGGTAGGGGTATAATATTTCATAAACAGCTAGGTACTCATATTACTCATTAATTATTATCTTTTTTTTTTTTTCTTTTTATGTTTTTTTTCTTCGATATTCAGAATGAAGCTGAGAGTTTATTACCAAAACTGTGGCGGTCTCCGGACCAAAATTAACAATTTTCATGAAAATATACTTTCCGAGAATTATGACATAGTAGTTATAACGGAAACTTGGTTAACTAAAGATTTTCATGATTCCGAATTGTTTGATCAGAGATATAATGTTTTTAGAAATGACCGATCTTCACTTAGAACTGGGAAAGCGAGAGGCGGCGGTGTATTGATAGGAGTTTTGAAAGAACATAAGGCAACACTGGTAACAGCTGATTCAAATGTTGAAACGATTTTTGTCAAAACCATCATACAAGGAAATGAAATAATTATCAATGGTACATATATACCCCCAAGCTCAAACTCCCAAAAATATAAAGACTACGCGGACTTGTTCGATATGATCGATAAAGATGTGAAAGATAGCACACGTTTTATTATTTTGGGCGATTTTAACATTCCTGAAGTTAACAATGTAAACTTCTTTCGAAGAAGTCATCAAAGCCTTATCGTAAATACTATGTGTTCCTTATTGGACAGCTATAATTTGAACTCATTCAATAGCCATCTCAACGTAGATAATAAAACACTTGACCTGGTCTTAAGCAACTTGAATCTCTCTGTCTCAGTAGAAACCATGCCTTTAGTTGCTCCGAGTGATAAGCATCCTCCACTGATCTGTGAGGTAGACTTAACAAAGCAACGGATACATTACACTGCCGATAGGAACTCGCTGACAAACAAATTCAACTTCAGATTGGCCGATTTTGATTATATGTACGAGCTGTTTAGGCGGACGGATTGGACCATACTTGGACATTATGAAAATGTAAATGATCAGATTCAATATTTTTACGAAGTTATCTATAACATTTTTGATCAGAGTGTTCCAAAGTATAGAATAAATAACCTCAACAAAAAGCAATATCCTCCCTGGTTCACGAACGAAATTAAAAATAAACTCAAACAGAAAGAACTATGTAGGAAACTTAAAAACTACTCAATTGAAGCACGCAATAATTATAATAGGCTTAGATCAGAGGTAAAGAAGGATGTGAAAAAAGCTCATAAAAAATATATTGAAGATGTAGAAAATAATCTCATAAATAACCCGAAATATTTCTGGAATTTCGTAGATTCCAAGAAACGATCTCAAGAAGCGAACACAAACTTTGTCATAAATGGTGTCAGTACTGAAGATTCTCAAGTAATTTCTTCAGCATTCGCGGACTACTTTGCATCTGTTTATGAAAACAGCTCCACATATGATTTGAATAATATCTTCAACAATAGTCACAATGGAAATGATAATATTCTCTCTTTTTCTCATATAACAGTTACAGACATGGATAATGCGTTTCGTAAACTCAAGCCAAAGAAATCATCAGGACCAGATAATATACCATGTTACCTTATCAAAGCATGCAAAGAGTATCTTACATATCCACTCATGATTATTTTTCAAAACTCGTTACAAACTGGAATATTCCCCGAATTGCTGAAGAAGAGCAAACTTACACGGGACAAACAAAGTATCCTCAATTATAGACCCACTGCTATCCTCAACTGTGTGGCTAAATTGTTCGAATTCATTATCTTCGAGAAAATATATTGGCATGTGAAAAACCGAATATCGGAATCACAACATGGTTTCTGCAGGAAAAAGTCAATTGAAACTAATTTAGCCACCTATCTCATTCAAGTAAGCGATATTGTTGAGTCGGGTGGCCAGGTTGACACTATATACACGGATTTCGCCAAAGCCTTCGATAAAGTCAACCACGATATACTTCTAAAAAAACTATATAATTATGGTTTGAGTAATATGCTTGTTACCCTACTATCAGGATATCTTGCTAACAGACCACAATTTGTCACATTTCGTGGAGCCAGCTCTAATATACTTTTGGCTAAATCTGGAGTACCACAAGGGTCAAACCTGGGCCCCCTTCTATTTCTTTTATTTATTAATGATCTTCCTCAGCAACTTTCTTCTGACTGTTTACTATACGCTGATGACTGTAAAATATTTCGAAAAATTGAACATCGCGGGGATCATGATATATTACAAAATGACTTGAATTTGCTACATGCCTGGACAGTTGAGAATAAACTATACCTGAATGTTGATAAGTGTTTCAGTATTACTTTCTGTAGGTCAAATAACTTTAATGAGTTCAACTATCTTATAGACAACAAGAGCTTAGAAAAACTCACTCATATAAAAGATTTGGGCGTTACTTTTCAAAATACTTTGAAATTTGATAAACACATAAATGATGTATCAAGAAGTGCTTCTCGAATGTTAGGTTTTCTTAAACGCGTAACTTTCGAATTTAAAAATATTAAAACCATTTCTAGTCTATATTTCTCACTCGTTCGCAGCAAATTAGAATTTGCGTCCATAATCTGGGACCCTGGAAAGCTACACCTCATAAAATGTCTTGAAACGGTTCAAAATAAATTCATATTTTTTCTACATTACAAAAAATATCGAAGGTGTCCCGATCGTTCGTCCTACGAGCCACTTCGTAAAGAATTCAATATCCCTAAATTGGAAAACAGAAGGCTCTTACAGAAGATGATATTTGTTTACAAACTATTAACAAATATTACTGAAAGTGTAATGCTATTGTCCAAAATAAAAATACGTATCCCTAAACCCAATCTTCGACCAAAACACATTTTATTTCTTACTAGCAAATGTCCTAATCTAATTGATAATATGTGTACACTATACAACAAGTTCTCTGATAAACTAGTGTGCATTGATATTTTCACTATGAACCTTGTTTCTTTCAAAACTTCTATTCGCAATGCCATGATTGGTCTCTGAATATCTCAAATTCTAAACACTCGAATATATTCGACTCAGCTTCTTTCGTCTTAAATAGGTATTAATTATTATAATTTATTACTAATTCGATAGTCTACTTCTCTACCTGTTTCAAGGCAAAAACTTAAAATTTAAATTGGTGCTCTTATTGCATGTTAGTGTTAGTCGAGGTGTTAGTTTTAGTTTTTAGAATGCAACTTGTGTTGTTCTTAACTTTAATTCTAATTTTAAGATTCAAGATTCATGTAATTAGGTTTCTAGGAACCTGTTTGTAATCTTCTTTAAATAAATAAATAAACAATTTTTCAGTAAACCAGTGCAGATATACAGACTGACTGACAAAAAATGCCACAAGCCATACCGCCGCTATTAACTATCCGATATTGAAAAACAAAAAAGCAAATGTATGCACTCATCAGATACTAGAAGAAGGCTTTGATCATTATATTTTCAAATTCCAACAGTTTAGCCATTGCCAACCTTTTTTTCAAATTGCACCATATGTCTATTTTCAATTTTTAATCAATATGTGTGAATTATGTGATCACTTTGAATGTTTTATATTTTTTCACAGCACACTCAAAATCACATGTGATGTTGAAATATCTGAAAAATTGAACACATTTAATTCAGTGACATCTACTGTCATCTGATTTAGATACTAATACATCACAAAATTGTATGAAAATATCTATTCTTGTACATATTTCTTTCATTTCAACTTGTCTCTCTTCACTGTATTCAGAAAAAATCTCGAACAGAAAACAAATTAAAAGGAGGAAGATGAATTGAATAAATATACTATTCTATTTTTTCGTGTTTAGCTTCGCCGGAGCCGGTGGTGTACGAGAGAAGCCCGACACCGCCGCCATTGTCGGTGACGCCGCCGCTCAAGTACAGAGAATACGCCGCCAGGGAATACCCGCCGAGAGAGAGCCCGCACACGCCGCCACTGCATCACCATCATTCTAACAGGTGACTCATCTATTCACCTTCATCAATTTACCGGGTGTCTCTCAAAGAGGCTCACCCCTATAAATTTTTAGTTTATACAGATAAACAAATGAAATTCGGTGTGTGAGTATAGTACATAAATATGCATTATTTGACGTATTCAATTGTTTTCTGTCACTTCCGGTTTGATCAGAAGTGACCCATATTATCTTAGTTTAAATGGGACACCCTGTATATTTTTACATATTTCTGTAGAGAATAACACTCTGAGTACAATAACACCCCATTTGCCACTTTTTGACATTTATCGTCATGAAATTTTCATTTTTCAATTTTTAATCTAGTGATTATGGTACTAGATATTGATACAACATATGGATTGTGTGGTATCAACGTGAAACGTACCTTGACGGAGAAGAAGATATCCCTATGAAGAGGGCCGAATGACAGGAAAAGAAGAAGTATATTTATCAGTTCTACCAAGTTTGACCTCACATCTCAGTAGCGCGATCTGGTGGATAATGAAATGAAGTTAGCCCTTATTAAGAAATTTTCGAGCGGCTAATGATGACGTAATTGATGAATCCATTATGAATAGAGATATGACAAGTTTTGCTGTGATAAAAGATGTGAACATTCCCGAATTATTAACGAAGGGAGAATCAGAATCAAATAATTCCCATCATCTATATCAAATTAATTATAGTCAACAAATTAATTAATGAATGCAGGTTGAAATCCTTCATGGACATCATATGGGTCTAATCCCCTATATGATAGTGTGGAAGTCCCCTGACTAGCCAGGGTATACCCACTAAACACACCACCCCGCTTGTAGGATCGTCTGACCAATGTCTCCGACGATACTTAGGCCTAGTGGCTCATTGTGTCTTACCTAGTAGTTTTTTTATTGTGCACACTCCATTATCTCTGTACCTTGAACAAGTATGTACGAATCCTTCACTGGATGTGAGTTAAATACTTCTGGTTCGCCAACTGGTTTCCCAAAAATTTTCTGTTTGCAATCTGCACAGTACATTTTGGCTTGAAAATGGTTGTGGTCGCGTGGCCTGGTGTCAGGAGGACACCACCACCATTTTTTTTCAAATGTAAAGGAGGTTCAAGGTAGTGTTGAAGGCCCTTCTCTATCCAATACCGCTTCATTTGTGCAAATTGTCCAAGCCGTTTCAGACTGGCGTTTAAAATTCACCTCGGAAACATAAAATAACGTTCGAAATGAATTCCAATACCGTTTTTTTTTCGTCAATTAGTGAACGGTGAATAATTCGAACTTTTTTAAGCACTCGTTGCAATTGTTACTTGCTAATTTTGTTGCAATCAAAAGTTATTTAGGTTTTTTGTTCATCTGTGAAATAATCGAAGCGAATTTTAAACCGGTGCGGTGTTGGCTAGAGAATCGGAATGCCTTCAAAACCAGGTACCACGTGAACCACATGATCACAACCATTTATATGCCAAATAGTAGTAAAACAGGTACCTTTTCACCCGACTTCGCTTGCTTGTTCGGTTCAAAAGTTAAAGGGGGGAGGACTTTTTGAGTCCTCACTGTATACAGACCATGAATGAATAAATAATCAGATAACAATGGGAACATAACCTCAATAAATACGGCTATCAGTGAAGTTTGGTGTAAACTGGTTTCCTGTTGAAAATTTGGGCGCGGTGCAAGATTTCATTCACGAAAAGAATGAAATTAATCAACTCCAAAATCTTTCAAGTTCAGTTTGATTCCATTAATCTAAAGATTTATCTCTTAATATTGAAGTTTTTCTGGATATTATAGAAATATATAATAGTTATTTCATCAGGCATCTGAACTACTTAATCATTTCGTGAATAATTTGGTTCAAACTTTTCGACTAATCAGGAAATCAATATCACATAAAATATTCTTTCTAAGTAATAAAGTCTCATTGTAGTCATTACAGAAGTTCTGAAACATAAAGTGAAAACGGTAACGTCGCAGTCCTGCTAGCAAAATCGCGGTTTAGCTCCATGTGAACCTGACAGTTAACCAATGATGTCATCGGAATGGTAAAGGAGTCAGATCTAATTCTTTCATTTTTTTCTGAAGTGAAATCTGAGCCTCTGGAGTCTGGAAAAAAATTAAACATGTATAACATGATCAAATACAAAAATGCATCATATTTGAATATACAGCGGTGACAGGAAATATAAGAAACAACATTTTTTGCTTAAATGTCACAAATAAGACATTCAAACAGTAGCTGATTTGTTAGATGATATACATTTATTCGTTTTTCCTAATGTTCATTGTTTATCAGGGAGTTTAATCTCGAAACGTGTTTGGAAATTCATCTTCAAGTGCCATCCATGAGAACATTTTCAATTTTGAACTCGTTACTTGTAAATTATTTTTTTCAGTACTTCGATTACTAGGACTGATTGGTGCCCAGTATGAATAATATACTGTTCTGAGGCTAGCATTAAAGAAAAAGTTCTTGGAGAAGAGTATGATTGTTGAAAAAGTATAATGAAATAGTTATTAGCTTTACTAGGCAGAAAAGCACAAGACTTGATGTGCAGGCGTTTCATTCAAAGTAATTATCAATTTTGATTACCAATTCGATTCAAATTACTTGGAATGTTGCAGAGCAACAAACTTTTTCTGTCCAGGCCGTCCTTATCTGCTTGTTAGTGTAATTAAAAAGCCAATTTTAATGTCATTTGGAGAAAATAGTGATGTGTTTTACTAGGCAGAAAGGCACAAGATTCAATGCCGCTGCTGACGTTTCATAGTCAAGGCGTAGCCGAGCCTAGGAAACCATCCAAGGTATTGAATCTTCTTTTCTGTCTTGTGAAACATCTGTCCCTGTCACGGTGTTTGACGCCAAACTCCTCCAAAACGGCTGGACCGATTTCTATGAAAATTTTGTTGCGTATTCGGCAGGTCTGAGAGTCGTAAGCTATTTTTTAAATTGAAAATTGAAGATGGCGGATCCAATATGGCGGACGAGTCCGATTCTATTCAAAATTGGTATCTGAGAGTTTTCGGGGTTGGAGATCATGATTATCTCTTCAAAATATACAAATTCAGGATGGCGGTTCCAATATGGAGGATGAGTTTTGTAATTATGGTCCAATTCTGTTCAAAATTGATAACTGGGGGTTTTCAGGGTCGGAGATTATAATTTTTTCGTCAAAATTTAGAAATTCCAGGTGGTGGATACAATATGGCGGACAAGATTTGTAATTATGGTCCGATTCTATTCAGTATCTGGGGATTTTCGGGGTCGGATATTAGGATTCTTTCTTCGAAATCAGGAAATTCAAGATGGCGGATCCAATATGGCGAGCGAGCTTTGTAATTATGAACTGGTTCTATTCAAAATTTATATCTGGGGGGTTTTGGGGTCGGAGATTATGATTTCTTCGTTAAAATCAGGAAATACAAGTTGGCTGGATCCAATATGGCGAACGGGTTTTGTAATTATGATTCGATTCTATTCAAAATTTGTTCAGTAGTTGTTTTCGGAGTCGGAAATTATGATTCTTTCGTCATAATTGGGAAATTCAAGATGGCGGATCCAAAATGGCGATCGAGTTTTCTAATTATGATCCGATTCCATTCAAAATTATTATCGGAAATCATGATTTATTCGTCTAAATCGGGACATTCAAGATGGCGGTTCCAATATGGCGAACGAGCTTTGTAGTAAATAGTAGTTTGAAAAACTATAGAAACACGCTCTTATAGCCAAACTAGAAAGGAGTGTGGCACTCAACAAAATATACTGGTGATGTTGTAGGTATTCTTCTTCTGAATTATGCAAGGAGGTGTTAGCTAAATAGTAGATGATAATCCAAGTCCTGAATGTCCTTCGCAGGACAATTTACTATCATTATTTAGCGGAGGAGACCATCCGAGTAAGGGATTCCCCCATTTTGTATTTCTCATCTGAAGTATATAAGGTGTCAGTAGAAACTACCAATATTGTGATACCTCTCAAAAACAGAAAATTTCGTGTCCTTTTCAGGACAATTTACAATCACTACTTAGCGGAGGAGACCATCCGGATAAGGGATTCCCCTATTTTGATCGACGACAGGCTGTCGCCCGAGAAATCGCCTTACAGGACGGTGACGCCCGATCCGTCTATGCACACCAGCCACAAACATCGGTCGATGACGCCTAGCACCAGGAGGAGGAAGATGGAGCGGGAGATGTTGCACAGAAAGCATCGGAAGGAGAGGAGTAAACGGGAGAAGAGGTATGATTCTTGGTGAAATTTGATGAAGAAAAATTGGAAACTTTTTTGTTCAATCGCACCGTCAGAGAGTATTTATTTCACGTTCTCGACACAGTACGTGGAAACGCCGGAACTGCATGACAATTTAGTCATGCTATCGCCATCTAGTGGCGTTAGTTCGAAGGCAGGGTCTTGCGGCCACGTAATAGATAGATAGATTTATTCTTCCATTAAATTTACATTTTTGGAAACGTCATAAAGTTTGTAAAACAGAATCATTGGAAACGTTAGGGTATACCTATATAATATGTTGAAAGTAATAATTATTATATGAAACAAACAAACACAAAGGTGTACCAATGCTTGTATAGAAATCCGCAATATTATATAAACACATGTTGATCAGAATATTTTACATTTTTGTTTTGAATTTTCCTATGGGCAAGGATGATATAGATTGTGGTACTGCATTATATAAGTGTATACTTAGAACTCTCGATTTGTTTATTCTATTGCCAGACTGAAGTATCTTGTTTTTACCTCTTGTATTATGCGAGTGAACATCCTTATGGGAGGATAATTCATTTATATTGCTTTTAATATGCATAAGATTTTCGAAGATAATCAACGAGAACAGTGACAGTAATCCCAATCCCTGAAAGGTAGGTCGACAGTGTTCATCTGGTTTCGCTTTCACTATGCTGCAAACTGCCGCTTTTTGCAAAATGAAGATTCTTTGTAAATGTGTGTGGGAGGCGTTGCCCCATCCCAAAATTCCGTAGGTTAAGATTGACTGGAAAAGACCTTGATAGGTGGTGAGACCAGCTTCTTTATTTACTATATTTGTTATTCTGCGTATTGCAAATAATTTGCCGCACATGAAATTTACTTGAGGAATCCATGATAGAGTGGAGTTGAAAAAAATTCCGAGGAATTTTATTCCCGTGTTCTCTGATGAACCTACATGTGAAAAAACGCCTGTGTCAGTTTTCTTGTCATTCGAGTATAGTTCATTGGAACTGAATCATCTCGGAGCGTGAATTAAGATAAGATTGATTATGAAATCTTTCTCCTCAGAGTCCTCATATTGTTGTTGAAAAGTGAAACTGGTATCGTCTGCGTACATTACCGTTTGAATTTGTAACTTGTTATCAAAGGTTCTCATGTGATTTGGTAAGTCGTTTATATAAAGAAGAAAAAGGAGAGGGCCAAGGAAAGATCCTTGTGGGACTCCCCGTTTCATAATGAGTGTTTCACTTTTGATTTCATTAACAATCACCGTCTGTGACCTGTCTCTTAAGTATGATTCTATTAAACTATTTGCGACTCCTCGTATGCCGTATAAGTTCAATTTCTCTAGCAACATAGAGTGTAGGACGTTACCATCTCTAGTCAACACGTGCCGGCCCCTGCGCCTAAACGTTGCACAGTATTACTACAAGTAAACCAGTCTGCTGACAGATGGCACCATCTGAATACTTGAGTGGAACCCTCGAGTCCAATTCACTGAACTAGATATAACTGAGAGATCTAGGATGAACAGATTTGCCCCAATAGGCGATTCGACTAATTTCTTTTTATTTCTCAAATAGAATCTTCACTCAAATACCTTTCCATTCCATATTTTTTTAGAATTTTTCGGTCGATTTTAAATAGTCAAAATCAACAATAATGCCACGGTGATTTTGAAACCGCTCAACATTTACGGTGAGTAAAAACTGACGTCATGATTTAGTAGGTAGGGGCAGGCCATAGCACAGTTGCCATATGTTGAAATACGACTGGGAACTTCAGAAATATTATTTATTCAATGATCCATACATTCTCAATTATGTATTGGTAATATTCCTAATTAGCATTGAAAAATCAATTGTCTCAAAATGTCCCCTCATGTGTTGTAGCTTATTGGTTATAAAACATTTAAGTAAATAATAATCATATTAATGGACACTTGAACCGGTAAACGCTCGGATAAACGTGACAACGGCGCACGAATTGTGGGCGTGGTCTTGTCAGTTTTCAGCATTCAGCACAATGTTGCCAAGTCTCCAATATTTGCATGATATTTTGGTATGGAGTATAAGAAATACTTGGACATGCTGTTTGCTCGAAAAAGTTAAGAATTAACTATAATATCATGGGTTCCTCCTATTATGTTTTATTCAAGGACAGGACTCTAAAAACTTTTTGATAACATGATTATAATTGGTGACTTTTTGTTTTTTCTTGTATAATGATCAAGCCAATAGCCCTTGTTGGGAACTAAAATTCAGGTTTACATTCCAAAACATTGATCTACGATTTGGTCGGAAGTTCACCAAAATCGGAAAAGAATTAAGAAAATTACAGGACGATCAACTTGGCAAACTTTTTTGCCGGTGAGTGTATATTTAATCTTATATGCATATTGATTCAATAAGTATAGGTGGTAATATTTTTTTTCTTAGGTATTTATCTAGGAGTCGAAGTCCAATAAGTAAAAGAAGATCTAGATCTAGCAGTTATGGAAGAAGTAGTAGACATTATGCTAGTCCATCACCTACTAGAAGAAAGAAACACAAAACCTCTAGGAGTCCCAAGAGAGATAGGAGTCCAAGGTAACGCAAATAGTTTGTTATGTTACATTTTCAGCTACTTGCACTACAGGATGTACGTAAAATTTTGAATGGAATCATTATTTCACAAATCAAAGATTACAAATATTCTGACTTTATCCTTGGACGAGTTAATTTTAAGAATATTCTTTGATTCATGTGAAAACATATATCACGCCAATGTTATTCCTTCAATCACATAATCTTTTCAGATTGGACATTACATTTTTTTCATATCTTGCGTCGTTTCTGGACCAAAAAAAAAAGAACATTATCTCACTGCGTTGCTCTGGAACCAAATGAATGATGTTCGAATAAGTCGAGCATTGTTTCGCCAAAGGGCACACATTCTTAGATCATCGACTATAACACTGAAAAATTGCCACTTCCGGTTCGTATGCCGCCCTTGGGGAGTGACCTAGGCGTATGCAAACCGGCAAGCGCCCCAATTTTCGTGAGATAAGATCATTGCACTTCATTGCCGAGCTTCTTCTTGAACAAAATTTTGAACTTTTTTCCAACCGGAAGGTGAGGTCAGGGCCGGGGCAAGGACTGGGTTGCGACTCTCCGAGACACTCCTTCCTGTTAACTTGGACTGAGTGAGTGGGTCCCTTAAATGGCCGACTTAGAACATCGATAAACCCTGTGTCACGGGCCAACAGTCTATTCACAATGTCTTCCAAAATTAATTCAGCTGACCAAGACCCGTCATTCTCTGCAACACATTTTCCACACAATAAATTGTTGATAAAAGTGAAGACACTCCAAAATAAAGCAATAAAAAAAATGTATACTCACTGCCGTATAGATATAGTACGGTTAATCTTTATAAAAACTTCAATATTTCAAGTTTAGATAATATGTATGATCTGCGATATCCAATCACATTCATCAAACCATTAACACATGTGATAGTTCTTATTCATACAATACATGTAATAGCAAGAAGTTATTCTTACTCAATGCATCTATAACCTATAAACATCGATTTGCTTTGAAGGTGTTCAAAAATAAATCAACTGCCTGTTGAAATAAAATAATGTAAAGCGATTCAAAGAGATACCTTATGAGTAAATTAACATTTCGCCTGGTTAAACTTTGTTTTGATTTGACTACATTTGTAATATTTTTTAGCACTTTTGTAAAAATGCAAAAAAATTATAAGTAGCGATAAATTCTGTGATATAATTAGACTATTTCTAATTCTACACTGTAACCCAATGTGCCTGACAAAAGGTAGTTTGTATATGTTTAATTTTTCTTTTCTTAGATTACATGTTTTTATAAGTAAGAACCTCTATGAAATAGTAGAATGTTTTATAAGGATCAAAAGTTACACTGTGTTGGTTGCAAAAAAATTTAATTTTCCGTGGTTCAATAAAGACTTATTCTATCTAATATAATGTTTGCAGTCGGCACAGGCACAGGAGTCCGTCTCCACACTCGATCAGGTCATCACAGTTGAAGAACAAAATCACGGACGCCAGTCTGTTCGCGGAATTGGTGAAGGACAGGCGCAAGAGAGAGATGGAGCTGAAACGACTGGCGGAACAGATGGAGCAAAGCAAGACGGATTCGAAAAGGGAAGCGAATGCCGAGAATCACGTGACGGTTGTGGATGAGGTCGATTTGACTCAAAACAGTAAGAAAATTATTTATGCATTTTATTTTTCTCAGTTTGTTTGAAACTTCAATTTTGTCAATTAGGTAAAAAATTACAGAACTATCCTACTGCAATTAAGCTTAATTGTAATATTGATCTGTTAGCTGAATTGTAATTGCAAAATTTATGTTGCAATTAAACGTGATGATAATGATAATCTTTATTATTCCTAAGAAACAATAAACATGATCATAACAAGAATCATTAGAAAAGATGAACCAACAAAATGTAACTTAATCAAATGAAAAAAAATCAATTTTCAGCTATCATTTCATCAGACTTTTGTGATTGAAATTAAGAAGATTCTGTCAGTTCACAAGGATAACAAAAATCTTGAACTTCATGATGCTTTTCATTGTCATTCTAAAATTTATTGGGCTGTTAATTGATTCAAAATATGTAGGTATGCCCATCAGTAACGTTGATTTACTGAAATATGTAAATAGTCAAAGCTGTTACTATTTTTTAACAATTTCTCTATGCAATCTTTGATATCTCAAACGAAAAAAAAAAAAAAATAAAAATACGATTCTGAGAGTCCTTCCATTCATGTGAACATAATCAATTCAATATAGAAGATCTTCGTATCCCTTATAGTTTCCGAGATCTCAATGGTGGACCTCGAATTCGAATTGCCCGGTATAGTAGGGGCCTGTATTTGTGACTCTAGATGGTAGCGTCATACAGTGTGTGTCGCGATATTCATGGTCCTACATCATCATGTAATACCCAGAGCATTTAATTTGATTATAAATGTGGCCTTTTTTCCTTGGATATTTGTAAGGCATTTGACACTGTAGATCATACCATTTTACTTTATAAATTATATTCATAGGTGTCAGAGGAAGAATGTATGATTGGTTCACAAATTATTTAACAAATACAAGGCAAAATGTTGAAGTGAATGATACTTGTAGATCGCTTATGAATATCACATGCGGAGTACCGCAAGGAGCAGTTTTGGGACCAATTTTATTTTTAATTTATATTGATTCATTATCAACTCTAGAATTGAAAGGAAAGCTCAAATTATTTGCAGAATATACAACATTGAGTTATGTATGGAAAGAATTAAATTATATCGAAGGGTATATTAAAAGTGATTTAGAAAACATCTTCTTTGATACAAATTCATAAGTTGACTCTCAATTTCAACAAATCTTCATGCATCTTCAAGAGATGCAATAACTTTCAACAATAGATATACAGACTATAGAGGTAACAAAATTTTTAGGTCTCTATTGATTAATAATTATTGTGGATCCAACCCATAGACAAATACATACAGTGTGACCCATTTAAGATGGAAGCACCCTTATAAAACTTACATTTTTCAACCGATTGGAATGATTTTTTTTTTGTTAGGTAGATATTCAAAAAGTCTATTAGGACACCAAATATCATGAATAAATCTCCATTTCCAGGGCCAACTAATCTGATTTTTCGAGGTCAAAAATCTAAAAAAATTACTAGCGATTTTTTTAGAAAAAATCAGACTACACCACTGGATTTGTGACATTTTCAAATGGGTAACATGTAAATAACGTTGAAATGCGTCAATCAATAAAAAAGTTATAAAGGAATGAAATTTGAAAAATATGCCGTTTAATCAACCCATCAATTTTTATTACTGAACAGATTTCGATGAAACTGTGATCAGTAATATTTCAAGACATCCTGAATCCAGTGGAGTATACAGAATTTTCATAAAATTCCTGAACATGAATTGGTGGGTTGATTAAACGACATATTTTTCAAATTTCATTCCTTTATAACTTTTTTATTGATTGACGCATTTCAACGTAATTTACATGTTACCCATTTGAAAATGTCACAAATCCAGTGGTGTAGTCAGATTTTTTCTAAAAAAATCGCTAGTTATTTTTTTAGATTTTTGACCTTGAAAAATCAGATTAGTTGGCCCTGGAAATGGAGATTTATTCATGATATTTGGTGTCCTAATAGACTTTTTGAATATCTACCTAACAAAAAAAAATCATTCCAATCGGTTGAAAAATGTAAGTTTTATAAGGGTGCTTCCATCTTAAATGGGTCACACTGTATAATACAAATACAAAATATTTATTTCCATCGACTGAAATACATCAGTATAGGCATTTGAGAGATGAAATAAGACCAAACTTGGGCATTTTATTCAGAATCCGAAATATCATTCCTGTAAAATACCTGTTGTGTATTTACTTTCGCCTCATGTATTCAAAGTTGCAATATTTAATATCTATTTGGGAGAGCACACATAGTTCATTACTAAAACCACTAATTAAATTCCAAAACAAATCAATCAAGTGCATTTTTCATCAAAATATTCTAGAACCTACAGTAAATTTATACAAACCTAGAATATTTACAAATCTGATTTTGTTATATGAACTCAAAATATATTGTTTCATTCATTTTGTCAGGAATAAATTCATAATGTTTAACTTAGCTTTCAATGAAGTCGATACAATCCTTAGTTATGGGACTAGACAATTGAATTTTCGATAGCAAATACATTCAAGTTGAACATTGGCAAACAATCTGTATTTCATATTGGAATAATTTTATACAGTTCATTACCTGGTCAGGGCAATTTGAATGAAAAATATTTGGCAGGATTTCAAAATTATGAATTTGTTTCCATTTGGGGTAATAAATACAATGAATCAATAAATCAAATGAAAAAAAAAACAAGATTTAATCGGAAAAATCTAATTTTCTACCCACTCTCAGCTGCGGACGACGAACCGAACGGACACGCTCCCATGCAATCGATGGCCGTCGATGATATCCCTATTCCCGAGTCGGTCGCACCGACGCGTCTCAGCGAGATCTGTCTGCCCCCCGCCTCTGAAGCGACCGCCCCCGCCAGCGCTGGAGGCGGCGCCGACCCGGTGGTGGCAGATCGGCCGTTGAGGACGCCGCCAACGCCGCCGTTGCCGCCCAGGGAAGGTGGGGCGGGGGACAACCACGCTGCCAAATACACTCCAAGGTAAGGAGAGGGTTGCTTTCGAAGTTTTTCATTCTATTTAGATATAATTTGAATTAATATTTAGTAGAGTTCGTTAACCCTTTCAGTCACGACTTTTCATTTTTTCAGTAAAAAAATTTTCGTGAAAGTGGGGGTTGAAGTGATTTTTTATATGATTTTTGAGAATTTTTTGAAGTCCGTACGGCCTTGATTTTTCTAAAAAAAATTATGTTCGTTTCAACGAACATGGTGACTCTACGAGAAGGAAAGGAAATAAATAGCTACAACATTGTGGTTTATTTCATATGGTAATCCTTGAAACAATTACGATCACGAGCAATACATAAATGTACACTACATTTCATACAATTAAAATGTGTTTTTTTGAGGCAAGCTCCATTATTGCACATGGCTAGATCCCTACTTCCATCAAATATTGGTAAATGGCCCACTTCATCGAGTCACCATGTTCGTTCTAACGTACATATGATTTTTCTCGAATTAGTGTATAAAAAATATGATATTTGATCATTTCGTTTTTTATATATTATAATAAACATATGAGGCATTGAAAAATGAATTTTGGAACTCAAATTCACTTACTATTTTATCAAAACAAACACGAGAAATGTGTTCATGAACAATAACAGCTGACTCACTGTACATACAGAAGGTAAATAAGCGAAACTTGTATAATATCCCGAGAGATAGTGCTACCTATATCAGTCATTGAATAAAAAGGTCCCTCGCGTCTGATGTGGTGTATAAATGGAATAATATGTGTCGCCTCAATTTACTATTGGCACGAAAAGTACATGTTCGTTTTAACGACCATGGTGACCGAAAGGGTTAATGTTGCTGTTTTGAAGTTTTTGTATATTTAGAGTACGGACACATTAATACTTTGACTGCCATGCCAGCTTGATATCGTGCTGAGCCAATGCAATTTCATTGGTTTGAACGCGTCAGGCCACGCGAAGTTTTCAGAGTAGGAGGCATCTAAGTGATCAGCATATTGCTGCTCAGACATCGTAAAGTCTTTCTGGTGTACAGAAGAGCATTAAAGGATGTCAGCTAAAATCGACCGACGCGGCCTGACAAGGCAATTTTTTTCAATGTATACATATAAGTGAAAGTGCATGATATACTCCTATTAGTTATTAATTAATCGATAAACTCACAGGGGTTTGAACATTTGCTATAACAGCAAAAGGATAAAACACCGAAAACTAGAAAAATTGTTCAATCTGTTACAAAAATCTCGTGAATATGTACAAGAAAGGGGGCTAAAAATGAGGTGAAGAGAGTGCGGACGCATTGAGAAGGCTGCCAAGAGATGCCTTCTATGTGCATTATTGAATGTCATGTGAAAACCCATTTCAACAATACTTAGATTCAGATATGTTCATGGGTTTTTCCACATTTTATACATTGAACTTTTTTGAGGCATTATTGTAGCTATAAATTTCATAGTGAGCGCCACGAAAAAAATCACATACGTTCATTTGAGCGCTGCGAATTCAGATCTAATGGAGATTTGAATGCACAGCTATCTGCTATCAGTTGAAAATCACTGCCAAGCACCGTTTTTTATGTCACCGTCGGACACATATGACTGACAAAGCATGTAATAGAGAGAGAAAAACAGGGTCCCGGCAGCCAGAGTGTTAAAGCTGGAACTGACAGTACACGAACGTACATGACATGAGTTTTAAAGGTTTGTTAAATTGAATTATTTGTGTATCACTTCTTCAATGTTGAAATCCCAAGTCTGTACTTGTATGTAGTTGAGATGTGCGGGACCTCTACAAATTATAGTGGATCTTAAAAAACTTCAGGGGTGCCAAAATATGCTGACAGGACAAGAACGCTCTACCCATGTACCAATTTATTGTTATTGAAAATAATCTTCTGATGGCTGGATTTGAACCAACAACACTGTACAGTGTAGAGCCATTTTTTATGGTTTCCTATTCCATATGTCTTGGAAAATCTTCACTATTCATCTTACCTGTAGTATCATGTACCCATCATACTTTTCCTTCATATTAATATGTATCTATTATCCTGTTATTGTTGCTATATCGTTTGTTCATTCAACAATACTTATTACCTACCACCTCATCACAGAGGGATCCGGAAATATTTACAAAAAAAAACATCATCTCGAGCTCCCTTTCAGATGGCTATATAAACTTTTTTTACTATATTTGCTACTAGAATCTGTGGTTGAAATATTTCTATGTAATTTCGGGACATCCTGTATGTTTGAAATAATAAGTTGATAAGAATTTCACAAAAACTAAAAACGTGGCGATAACATTTTCTAATCTTCCGAAGTTTTCTTATCACCTTAAACAGGAGTTAAAAAAAAAACGGTTTCCAGATATTCACTTTGCTCCACACTTTTGCCACAGTATACACCCTTACGGAAAACAGCAATTTTACTTAGTGTCGGAACGTTTGATAATGACCACAAGTTTTTTTTGCCAGACCAGCGCGCATACCACCACGCACAGACTTGCTTTTTCGGGCTTGGTCGAGCCAATGACAAGCCAATGACGACTTGCTCGTCATCACTTAGGAATGCTGTGAGGTCCCTGAGTTTTATGTGAACAGGTCTGGCTTCAAATAAATAAATAGCCTATCTACGCACTTACCACTATATCACTCGTAAAACATTCAAATTTAGATTTATACACAGTTTACACCACACTGTATTTATACTATGATAATGAATAAATAATGTTGGATGGATAAACAGATCATGGATGTTCTGTGGATATACTTTTCCTTACCTTGGCTCATCTTTTGGAAATCTGAAGATACTTGAACTGCAATCTATCCTACTATGTGTGCTACAGTAGGCAGTCATTATCTTCTAATGAAAAATAGCTCGATGAACAGTAATATCAATAGCACTCAAAAGTGAAACGGATCAGCAGAATCTTTGAGAAATCAGTGTCCTCACATATAAAGTTTATGAAGCACAATAATTATACCAGCAATCAGGAATAAGTCGTTCACAAAACAATACTAGACACAATAACAATTCATGATACTCGTGGTTCCTATCACAGAATGAATCACAAAGGCATATAGATCAAAGAAGTGTGAACAAAACAACTGCTGAGCTACTGCGCATACTAGCCACGAGTGGATATGCGCCCTGCGATTTTTAGGACATGAAAAGTGCTGACAGAAATTACTGTCTTCCGTAAGAGTGTATAATGTGCTTTTGCCCATCACTGTAAATCTTCGTCCGTCGCCAGCTCCAACTCCAACCTCATCCACATCGTCACCGTCGACCCTGCGGACGCTCATCCGCCTACGCCCGCCCCGCCCCCGGCAGGCCGCATTGCTCCGCCCATCACTAGCACAGCCCCGCCCCACACTAGCGTCACCCCGCCCATCGCCGAGCAGCCGACGGGCAAGCAGCGGCCGAAGAGCGTGACGCGGCTGCCGCTGCCGCCCGGCATCGACCAGACGCAGCTCGAGGCGATCGTGTCGCCGCCAAGCCGGTCGCCCAGTCCGGTGATGCCGCGGGCGGCCGAGAAGGTGCGGGCGAAGACGCCGCCCAGGCGGGGCATCAAGGATCTGCCGATGCCGCCAGGTGAGCCAATTTTATTTTTAATTTATATTAACTCAATATCTACTTTGAAATTGAAAGGAAAACTAAAATTATTTGCAGTTGATACAACAATAATCTATACTTCAAGAGGTTTTAACGATATCAATAATGATATTGAAAATGATTTGAAACAAATATCATCTTGGCTAACGACCAAAAGTTGACTCTTAATTATTGTAAATCTACGTATATGGACATCTCAAAAAGAACAACGGATATATTGAATAATACCCCAATATGTTTCAATAACAAATCCATTGAATATACAAATGTAACAAAATTTTTAGGTCTTTATATTGATGAACAATTATCATGGACTCTACATATAGATCAATTGAGGGAAAAATTGAATCCTATTGCTGGTATTATATATAAAATTCGAAATTTCATTCCTGTTAGATACCTAAAGATAACATTGAATCCTTCCTCAGTTTTACTTGTTGTTTCTGAAACACTTTTTTTGTCAAAATTTTTGTTTTTATTGACATGTGACTCATTACGGCCCTGCTTCTTCTCGCATCTCGCCTAACATTCTTTGTTTATGCCACAGGACAGTTTTGTGTCACTTGTCATTGGAGACATACTTCACGTATCCCATGTCAAGCTAACCCACCCCCCTCCTTCACCGCTCTACCACGTCATGGTAACCTCGATTCTCATGATGGGGTCCCATTTTATCTTCGATTACTTGGATGAACAAGTGTTGGGATCCTCCACAAAGCCCCCTTTGGGCCATGGGCAATTTGCCCTTCATTATTGTAACAATGTAAATTGTATTATGTAATAATATTATTATCTTCTCCTTTTTTCACTTCCACGTGAGTATACATAACTCGAGGTATAATTTTTGTAACTATATAAAAAACTGTTCTTTGTAGAAATTGTCATTTAAAATATGCTTCTGCTGATGATGGACTATTGATAGTCCGAAACATGTTCAGACACTGATTATTCAGTTAATAAATTTGTGGAGATGACTTAGTGTGTCTTGTTTATGAATTTATTAATAATGTTTCAACATGAGAGGATTTTTATTTACGAACTTGACAGTCTAGAGTCTATGCTTGACAGGAACATGAAATGTGTGTAGGTTAGGAATGAAAAATGAACTGTCAGATGACCGACCCTGGAGGTGAAACATTGAAACACAATCTCACTGTCCTTTTTTGTTTACAAATGATTGAAATAGTTTTTCACCATTATTTTGGCATACGAATCGTGTTTTTCGGTTTTACGGCTATTCATTAATTCGCACATGTCATCACATTGTGCAGTTGTTGTACAATGCACAGAAAATGCAGCGAGAGACGAAGGAACCCGGTTGGTACATTATGATTTAAAAGTAAGTACCTACTATAGTCACTCACATGTAGGTATTTTCATTTTGAAATTTGGTAATTTTCTGATATCTCATCAGAATTCCTTCTGCAATAGGAGCTAATCGAAATACTCGTGAAATTTCTAACAGAATGCAAGAAGATTGGATTCATGCAATCAAATGGGAGGACTGGTCTGACATGCTGACGAAATATGATCGTGTGTGTTGTAGACATTTTCAATCTATTACCAGTATTAGCTTCTATTGCAGAAGTGGCAGAAGGAATTTCAATAAGAAATGACAACATTTTATAATGAAAACTAGGTGAGATTACTATTTACCGGAAAAATCATATTCCTTCGGCTCTCGCTGCATTTTTTGTGCATTGCACAACAGCACAATGCGAAGGCATGCTTGAATTAATGAATAGCACAAAAATCACGATTCGTATGCCAATATATTGTGAAAAACTATTTCAATCCTTTGATTCCTCTGTAAACAAATAAAAAAGTGAGGTTGTGTTTCAAGTTTCAATGTTTTACAGAAAAGTGAGGTTGTGTTTCAATATTTTACCTCCAGGGTCGATCATCGTGCACGCGACCTTCAGGAAAAGAGGGCTATTTTTGCAATTGTTTTTATAATGAACAGACAATATTATACGTCTTGCCCACTCTCTAGCTTTCCCCTTTGATCGACAAAAATTTTCTTTACTCTCAAGTGATCTCTGGCGTACCGCCCAGAAGCTTCAATTTTCATTCATTTTCCTTATATTCTAGATGAGCAAACATCCTGATATTGAATTATCCATGTATATAACTGATGTAAGATGAATATAACTCGACAGTCGCCTAATATCATGGCACTCAGATTTTATAACGCTCTACCTGCCGATATTAAACAATGTAGTACATTAACTTCTTTCAAAGTATCCTTGAAACAACTATTACAAACAAAATGTTATTATTCGTTGGAAGAGTATCTTTCCCAAAAATTTTAATAATGAGCTACATGGGTGTATGCATGCTATCTCTTTAATCACACTTAAGTGTCATGTGTTAGTTCCCTTTTTGTCTATTTTGTATTCTACTTACATGTACCCTCTTGACTATTCCTATACAATTTTGTATACAAATGAAATGAAATGTGCGGTGTTTTTATCCATGAATTTCCTTCACTTTCAAGTGATCCCCGGCACGGAAGAGCTGAGCGGCGACGAAGAGCTGCCCGCGACGCCGCCCAGGAACAGCGCGCGGCCCGTCGAGAAGCCAAAGCCCGCCCCGAAGCCGAAGGTGCCCACCAAAAGGCCGACTATTCTCAAGCGCAAGGGCTCGCGCAACTTCCAGACTTGCGGCAAGGACTGGGGGGAGCGGTGCGTGGATATGTTCGAGGTCATCGCCCAGATCGGAGAAGGTAAAGGAATATTCCGAATTAGTCCAGATATACCTTCCAATTTTATATGCAATCGGATCATAATCACAAAACTCGTTCGCCATATCTTCCTCAACAAATAAATACCCTGTAAATACCTATTATTAAAATTTTGAATGATTTTCTGTAGCGCATATGGATGTGACGTGACAGCAATGTCAGGGATGCCAGTAGACAAAACTAGAGTCTCTAGATCATTAAAAAAGAATGCAGCTATGATCTGTCCGTACCCTGTTAAGTTGACTTTAACCTCAATTACCCTAGTCCAGGCTAATGGAGCTGTTGCAAACAGTTTTTTCCTCAGTGCTCTGTGCATTTTTTAAATATTTATCAAAATTCACGATATTCCATGACTTGAAAAACGCGGAAAACGCGTGACGTAATCATCCGTGAACAATTCAATGCAACCTTATAAGATTCGACTTACATATTATCCATTGTCTATTTCTTTATAACAAGTGCAAGACTATTTCTGATTGTCATTTCAATCAAAATATGAAATGAACTTTCTGGACTGAATACTTACTGCCGATAACAGAAAACACAAAACACAACTGTAGAATCAGATAATATGAGGATTATCTTTGAATATTCGCAATAGTTGTCAGATTTGACCATAGATTTTACTAGATGATTGGGTTTGAAGGTGATGGTGACAGCCGAGACTGATGTTAGGTTATATTAGAATTATTTCTCCCTTAACTTCTCAATGTTTTGTGGCAAAGGTGAGCTAGCTTCATCATGTTTTGTTTTGAAGTGGGATCCCTTCTAAACACAATGGTTTTCACATCATTATCTTCTCTTCAATGGAAGATACAGGTGTTTTGAGAGACTGGATATTTTTTATTCTTATTAACAATAATTCGGAACACTTCATGAACTGATTGATTAAAAACTTGAAAAAACTTCTAAAAATTAATGTCTCATTCCCACCCCGTTTTTTTTAGGAACTCACTGGCAAAACAAACCTTGATTACAAAACACCTCAAAATCTGTCCTCCTAATAGTAGCCAATATCAAGTATGCCCTTCTAGAACTTGACTTAGAGCATTCAACCCCCGTGGCAGTCTTGAGGTAATGCATCAAATTCTTCTTGAAGGGCATGACAAGGCCGGACGGAGACGAATTGGAGTTGATTCCAAAGATGCTCTATAGGTTCTGAATTATTTGTCGATGGAAACAAATATTCCATACTTTCTTGAAACACTTGTATCTTTTCTCAAGAAGAAGATATTGACGTGAATAAAAAATCAGTTGAGTGTCGAGAAGGGATCACACTTCAATCTTAAACGTAATGAAGTTATGTTTAACTACTCAATGGGCGTGTACACCTTGGTAAAACTTTTAACTCAAACCATGTTTATTATGATCCTTTTATACATAAATAATGATTGACGACAAAAATCGATCGAAAAATTAACTGGAATGTTTTATTTTTGGACATAAATAATAGTACCATCTGAAAATGCACCCTCTTATGACATAGAAACCTCATCTCGCCATAGTTAAAAGAAAATACCAAAAGCCCGACGGAGACTGAGGCAACTGATATATTAATTCTTTCAACTGTGATCTCGTGCTAATTCACTTGTTTCAGTATTAGGGTTTTGACGTCACATCATCGCCTCGTTTTCAGAGGTCCGAAAAATCGGGGATTTCAATAATTTTTTATAAAACGTAGGGAGCTCACAGCAAGAAACGGTTTGCGGTGGTGAGCTAGTTTGAGTGAGTTCTATCGAATTATAGAATAAACATTTTTTGTGATACAAGCCCATTTGACCACTTGGCGTTAAGAAGTTGAGGGTGAAAGAGGAACTTTCGTTTTTCCTTGTATATTAATGACGTCATAAAGTATTCTTTAAAATTCTACCTAATATTCCGAATCAAGAATCTACGATTTGGTCAAAATAATTCCAAAATCGGGCAACAATCGAAGAAGTGACAGGGAGATCAATTTAGCAAAATTTAGCTGGTGTAAATGAGTTCGACCAGCATCAGTGTTTCAACATATAATTCAAAAATTGAAGGAAGACCTTTTTATGTTTTTTATATGAAGGTTAGAATAGTTTCTTCTAAATTTTTCAGTTGCCAACATACAATTCTCAATATTTTACGTTGAGATGTCGAGGTTAGAAAAGTCTTCTTCTAATTATTGTTTTTAGGTACTTACGGTCAAGTATATAAAGCCAAAGACGTGCACGCCAGTGAGCTGGTGGCATTGAAGAAAGTCAGACTGGAGAATGAAAAGGAAGGATTTCCCATCACTGCTGTTAGAGAAATCAAAATACTCAGGCAGCTGAATCACAAGAATATCGTCAATCTAAGGGAAATCGTCACCGATAAACAAGATGCCGTAGATTTCAGAAAGGTCAGTTTGATTTAGTAGTATATAGTGTCTCCTTCCATTTTCCCAATAGTCATATCCAACTGTTTTCTGTAATTTCCACCTGTTGCTTGTCATTTCCTGTCATTTCCACTTGTTGCTATGACTTCTACACCTCTTGCTCGCCATTTTCACCTTTTGTCATTTCTACCTACCTGTTGATGATGATTTACACCTGTTGCTTGTCATATCCACCTGTTGCTTGCCATTTTTCACCGTCTCTGGTCTTGCTTGTCACTTTTGTCTTCCACTTGTCAACAGTTTCTTTGTTTCAGGAAAAGGGTTCATTCTATTTAGTGTTTGAATACATGGATCACGATCTGATGGGGCTTTTGGAGTCTGGCATGGTGGATTTCAATGAGCTGAATAATGCCTGCATCATGAAACAACTGCTGGACGGGTTGAACTACTGCCATAAGAAGAATTTCTTGCACAGGGATATCAAGTGTAGTAATATTTTGATGAACAACAGGTAAGTCAAAATTCCTTCTTGTTTATATCTTTCGGGATTTTATTTCTTGTCTGATGATGTTCAAATTATGATAGGTGAAATAATAAATGAACTAATTCAAATATTACAAAGAGAATAAATAAACAGATGTTATTAGTCCTTTTGTCAAATGTTTGTATATGTCTGATGATTCAAAATGTTCACGTTTTATTCCTTCATTTTGTACATGTATAATTGCAGAAAACTCATTTGATGTTCATAAATACGGTGGTTGAATGTTCTACCTGTTTGACCAATATTGTTATGCCTTAAGGCCATTAGGGCAAGTCCCACGTTTCAGTTTGTTTACTCCTGATTTTGTATTCTTGATGAACCTTTCTATTTCCATTACATAACGAGCTAGCAAATTGTTGACATAGGTTGCAATAATTGATTTCTCTAGTTCTTGAGATATCCATGATTTTAGGAGCTACTTGATGAAAGAAATGGCAGATCTAATCATCACAATCTTTATGGAAATACTACTCAAGGATTGTTAAGTAACATCAAATGCATGGTTTAAAATTTGTATAATATACTAATAACGAGGGATTTTTTTCCAAGGCATTTGAATATGCAATGACCAAGACAAGACTGGTCTAACCTAAGAGTTTCGAATTTTTTGTAGGATTTATGCCAAAATTCCCGAATTTTAAAGGATCAATTTGGTAATCAGATTAACTCTTTTGGAGATGGACATAGTAGAGGATTCGTTGAAATTGAGTGTCAACAACAACAAAATGAACTTAATTGAGTATAAATACTCAAAAGGCCATCGACCGAGGTCCTTCAGCCACCATGAGTGTCAATTTATGATCTAGTAGCCATAATATAATTGGAGTGAGAACTTGTTCCATTTGTTCTTTTATCTCTTCAATATTCTTCCGTAAAAAATAAGAGTTGTGTCATCGGCAAATAATTTTAAATTATCTTGTGGTGACGTTATTGATATTATGTCAATATTCTCCTATTTCTTTAATGATTATAAAACTGAACTTCCAGAAAGAAAAACATGTTTTCAAAGTACCTACCTCATTATGAAACTCATATTAGTCTCCTAATATTTGATTTGACGTTTTGGTAGTAGGTATACAGTGTCACTGCATCATATGGGAAAAACTTTTAATAATTCATTTCGAAATTTGACTTTGCCATTAAGTTTTGCTTCAAAAAGGATGGAAAATTGCCTACTTGGTCGAAGTCACGAGACTTTCGCTACATGTGGAAAGTATCTCGAATTTGAACGTTCTATTGCAACTTTTTAGTTCTTGATTTCCTCAAATTGTAACTTCAACAAAACTGTCCTAAACTCTGGTTAGATAAGTAAAGTAAATTGATGATATTTTGATAGATGAATTTGGCATCATTTTAGTACTGAAAAAATCAATTTGAATAAATTTCGCTTCTGAAAGATATACGGTACATCAACTTTGCATCAAACATAACAAATTTGAAGCGGCGACTATAATTTTCTCAAGAAAATCATATTTCTGTCGATAATAATTGATTGAAAGGTGATAACATGATGAAGCTACTAGAATGAAATTGTTTTCTCGAAGTTGAATTTGTTTAATAAGGCAGATATTTCGTAGGAATTGAAAAAATATCAAAAACTAAAAGTTGTCAGAGAACGTCCAAATTCGAGGCATATATGGGGCGGCGTGACCGAGTTTGTCTTTGCGCTGATATTCGCTAGATAGTTGTTCACGATGTCTGTTGAAAATGTAGAAAATTTGTGATTCATGGCTGTAATCCTGGCAGCAGCAGTGGTTCGGATTCCACTATAAGCTGTAAGTCCCGCTCTTCCTAACCCCGCACAAGTTTCGACTTCTGGAGAGTCGATTCAAAACTCCGAAGTAGTGATATACAAATTTTACATGAAAAATATATGTAAAATTGGAATAGAAACAACTTTTCTCAGTGAACTTTTTCGAAATTCGAAGAAATAAGCATATTTTCAGAGATGTATTTAAAATATGTAACTTTTGATAGCGAAGGTCACGTGACCCCGACATAATTGTCCAATTTTTCATATTTGTTTGAGCAAAACTTGACGCCCAAATCGAATTTGGATATAAATTATTATCGAAAGTTTTACCCACATGATGCCGACTTTATGAATAACACTGTATATATGTTTTCGTGTAGGGGCGAAGTGAAACTGGCCGACTTCGGGCTGGCCCGGCTGTACAACGCCGAGGACAGGCAGCGGCCGTACACGAACAAGGTGATCACTTTGTGGTACCGGCCGCCGGAGCTGCTGCTCGGCGAGGAGCGCTACGGCCCAGCGATCGACATCTGGAGTTGCGGCTGCATCCTGGGCGAGCTGTTCCTCAAGAAGCCCCTTTTTCCGGTGAGAAGATACGAATATTAATAATAATAATTTATCTTACAGGCGGAGGTCTTCGCAATTGAATTGTGTGCTAGAGAGTTGACGAATAGATCTCTAGTAAACAAAAACATTAGTATGGATTGCGTGCAAGAACTGTCAGATGACCGACCCTGGAGGTGAATATTGAAACACAACCTCACTTTCCTTATTTGTTAACAAGTGATTGAAATAGTTTTTCACAATTATTTTGGCATGTTTGGAGTGTTTTCCGGCTATTCATTAAATCGCACACGCCATCATATTCTGCTGTTGTACAATGCTCAAAAAATGCATCGGGAGACGAAGGAATCTGGTTGGTACATTATGATTCAAAAGTAAGTACCTACTAAACACTACACTCTGATATTTGGTAATTTCTCTGATTTCTCATCGGAATTCCTTCTGCAATAGGAACTAATAAAAATACTAATTTCTAAAATAATGCAAGAAGATTGGATTCCTGCAATCAAACGGGAGGACAGGTCTGACATGCTGACGAAATATGATCATGAGTGTTGTAGACATGTTCAATCTAGTATTAGCTTCTATTCCAGAAGTGGCAGGAGGAATTTTAATAAGAAATTACAAAATTTCATAATGAAAACTATGTGAGATTACTATTTAACTGAAAAATCATATTCCTTCGTCTCTCGCTGCATTTTTTGTGCATTGTACAACAGCACAATGCAATGCGAAGACATGCTTGAATTGATGAATAGTGCAAAAAACACTATTCGTATGCCAAAATATTGTGAAAAACTATTCAAATCCTTCGATTCCTCTGTAAACAAATAAAAAAAGTGAGGTTGTGTTTCAATGTTTTGCAGAAGAGTGAGGTTGTGTTTCAATATTTTACCTCCAGGGTCGGTCATCGTGAACGCGACCTATTGTATCAGACAGTCAGGTTAGGTTAGGTTAGGTCAGGCTGATCTCAAGCAATGAGCTCCAGCAAGATAAATTCCTAGCTTGTATGGAGTTGTATTGAATCCCTAGAATGCCTAGGTGCAAACAACAGAGTTACTTTGTTGTGGGTGCCTGGACACCAGGGGGTGGAGGGCAACGAGAAAGCTGACATCGCCAAACAGGGAACCGAATCTGTGTTCACGGGACCAGAACCATACTTTAGAATCACCGCAAGTGCGGCCAAAACAACTATCTCGGACTGGGCGGAGGAGAAAAGACTCACGTTATGTTAGGTTAGGCCACTGCGGCCTATGGCCTATTGTGGCTCACCCTGTGGTTATATTTCTCCAAGTATATCTAATCTCTTGGCGAAATTGAGGAGTACGATGGGAGAACAATTTATCTGGGTTTTTTTGCCCTACTGTTGTATTGCCAAATGTTGAATATCTGATTCTGACCGCTGCAGGGCATCTACATAAAATGTGTTTAGCCGTTTCATCCTCCTCCATGCATAGACGGCACTCTGCATCTTGTGCAAGTCCGATTTTGTGCATGTGGTGTTTGAGTTTGCAGTGGCCAGTGAGCAAACCTACTATAACGTTGAGATGTGCTCTACTGAATTCGAGTAGTTTGTCAGAGTCCTGTTTGTTCCTTGTACAAGCAATGAATACTTTCGATTGGGCTACCCGGTAGGCTACGCCAATACTCGAGTCTTTTGTTGTCGCCCCAGGATATTATAACATTCTTGGCCATGCTATGTGCTATACCGACTACCGGTTCTGGCCCAGTGAACAATGATTTGACCCCCCCCTTTTGCTAGGACGTCCGCTATTTCGTTCCCTTCTAGGCCTGTGTGACCTGGTATCCAGACTAGGTTAACGTTATTGCGTTGTGCCAGTCGGTTTAAGGTTTCTCTGCAGTTCCATACTGCTCTGGATTTAAAGCAGTTGGATTCAAGTGCTTTCAGTGCTGCTTGACTATCTGAGAATATCTTTATTGTTTTTTGTGTGTGGTGTCGATTTTCCAGCTAACTTGCACACATTTCAATGGCGTATACTGGAATATCATAGCTAGTTTACCCATACTGAATAAGCGTTCCACTACTGGATTCATCCCGTATATTCCGGCTCTGACGCCTTCCACAGTTTTAGAGCCATCGGTATACCAGCATTCATTTGCCCTACATAGGTTAGTTTCATTCTGAACCCATTCTTCTCTTTCAGGGAAGACCACAGTGTAGGACGTGTGAAGGTTGGTAGTTTTAGGCATAATGTCTGAGGGCATTCCCGGAATGTTGTGAGATATTATACCCTCTAGCATTTTGCTGCTTTTCATGACCACTGCTTGCGGTAGACTAATGGCCGCTTGATGGAGTCTGTATGTTGCCCATCTTGCCTCTCTCTCCAGCATTATGTGGAGAGGAAGTAATCCGAGAAGGGCTTCGTGGAGCGAATGGCCCCTGTAATCGCCTGACACGTACAGCCAGTATACTTGTTTGGGTGACATGCTCCACGTTTTACCACTAATTCTGCGGCATGTCCATAATGATAGGCTACCCTTTCGGATAGTCTTTTCCAATTTAGCTTTTTATCTAGGGTTATTCCCAAATATTTTGCTTCCCTCGTGAAAGGAATTGTTATACTCCATTGATGGAAGGAGGTCTTAAATGAATGACTCACGTACTGGTCTGAATCACCAGGATTAACACATTCAAAGGCGTTCCTGCCTAAACCATCGAAAAATATAACCAGGCAGATCCTAGAATGGAGCAGGGGTAACCTGCGAATTCTGACAGGCCTGCTTATGGGACACTGTCGTCTAAGATACCACCTGGGAAGGATGGGTCTGAACCAACAAACGGACTGTCGGTTCAGCTGTGTGGAAGCCGAAACGGCTGAACACATTATGTTTATGCTCTTGCTTAGAGAGACAGGTTCGACATATTTAACTTTAATTTAGAACCTATCGGTTTCAGACAAATCTCACCTAATTCAACCATGGACTTTGTAAAAAGATGTAGATTGTATAGTGAACTGTAACCTCTGGTGAGCCACAATAGACCCCATCTGGGGTCGCAGTGGAACCTACCTACCTACATATTACAAACATAATATAAAAAACAGCGAGTTTTTCAATTATTGGTTTAAACTTCTGAAAAAATCCAGTGACTCATTTGAAACTTTGAAACAGAAATATGTAATCGAGAGAAGAAAGTGTGTTGCTGTTTTTAGCGCACTGATCGTTGATATCTCAAAAACTTTATATCCTACCGACCCCAGCAACCTGCTCGAGGTCTCAATCGATTGAAGACGGTCTGTTCTACCAGGAAAAGAGATTTTTGCGAGATTTTCTCTTTATTTTTGGGAATAATTGGCATCGGAAAGTCCTAGTATCGTCTCTCCAAGATCTCTTGGTTTAACATTTCGAAGAATTTCAAGAAGACATTCAATACTCCAGATCAAAATCAACCGACACGAAATATAGGTTCCACCAATAAAATTTGCGAGGTATTCATATATTTCAGCAAAATATAGAATATTATTAATTTAATGCATTTCTATTACTGCAGACTGGAAGATTTAATAATGAACAGAATTATATTGAGATGAAAAGCTGAACTTGCAATTAAGAAACAGGATCAATATTGAAAAGAACCAACGGAACTAAAACAAAATTCAATTTCTTTCCAGGCAAATGCTGAGATGCAGCAACTGGACAGGATATCACGCGTCTGCGGCACTCCGACGCCCGCCGTTTGGCCTACGGTCATCAAGCTGCCCCTCTTCCACACCCTCAAGCCAAACAAGCTGCACAGGTAGGGTGGTTAAAATACCGTATTAATTGATATTCCGGTGTATAGTACCATTATCAAACGAAATCAAGATCAACTTTTTTAAATTGAGGTTAAAATGGTTTTATTCTCCATTTCTTCCCATCTTTAGTGTTGCCAACATGAAATTTTCATTATTTTACTTTGGAATTTGAAATCGCAGAATGTTTGGTGTGTTGGAAGATTTTAATGCACTCAAAGTTTGGCACAACCTACTATTCATTCAATAATTTCTTTGATTTATATGAACTAGTTGATTGTTGATCATTGTTGCTGTTGCATTTTTAGACCTTTCTTTCAAATAGGGGATGAACTTTGAATTTTTGGGGGCTAGGCCAATTGGAACTTTATCATTTCATCAAAATCTACCACATACCAAAATTCCAGCGATTCGCTGAGGTCAATTTTTCTTCAGTTTATTGTGGGGTCCTTCATATGGTCTTCCATATTTCACTTTTCATTGTTATTGTCATCTTGCCATACCTTGAATTGACCATTACTTCACCTGGAAAGGGTCAGACATTTTGTACTATTTGACAGTAGTTACTGTCAAATCATAGTTTGAAAAACGAAGAGTTCAAGTTATTTTTCTTGCTCTTATTCCCAATAACTAACAATTCAATAGATTCTGATCCTATAGAAACACATCAACTTACACAGTGGCACAATTTTATTCGCGAGATTCACGAAGTGGGCGACATCTAGGTTACATAATACGAACTTCAAACTGGGGGAAAACAAACTGTTGTCTATGGATAAAATGCATAGACTACTTTGCATACATCTTGCTGTAGCTGTAGTTGTCAAACTTGTCAATGACATAAAGTGTTATCACTCTAATCAGTACACAGTACACAAGCTAATGGCACTAATGGGATTGAGTGAGGATTTCGTTTGTTTTCCCCCAGTTTTGACGTGGCTTTGACATGGAACGTTGAAAACTAGGCGCCACTTGGTAACATTGATTCCCGCGAATTCACATTTTATATTCGACATCTTGGTAGACTCGAACTTTTACCGCATTTTAAATTGTATTATACAAGGTGTATCATAAATTCCCTGTGCACAGGCGTCGTCTGCGCGAGGACTTCGTCTTTATGCCAGTTTCCGCTCTGGATCTGTTGGACAAGATGCTAGAACTCGATCCAGATAAGAGGATAACAGCCGAGGACGCACTCAAATCCTCCTGGCTGAAGAACATCAATCCAGAACAGTGAGTAATCTTATTATAATTATAGGCATTGGTTTTCTGATTGGGTGACACATAATAAATCATCATCCCCTACAACTCTCATTATTCTGACAGTAGCAGAACATTTTTTATGACAGTCTTACAGGAAATAATTTTTCATTCTTGAATCGGCAAATGAATTTCAAGGGGTGTACCACAAGGATCAGTTTTGACACTAATTTCATATTTAATTCACATTCACTCAATATTTAGTTAATAATTTATATTGATGAACATGTTGCTACTATATTTCAGTTGGACAATGTTGCGCGATTTCAAAATTTGAATAACTAGGAAAATCTACTATTTATCAATTAAGTTGAAAATGTTTTCATTGGCTATCCTAATTCATTCATTTTCACCATATGATTCATTTGTTATCCAATGGTTATAAGGAGCTGTAATTTTCCTTTGCAAACGCGTAGTGTGTCTACTAATATGCAGATGGCGATCGATTCGCTCGTGCAGAAATCGGCCCATATACATTGCCTATCTATGGGTTGTGTGCAAGAACTGTCAGATGACCGACCCTGGAGGCACAACATTGAAACACAACCTCGCTTTTCTTATTTGTTTACAAATGATTGAAATAGGTTTTCACAATTAGTTCGGCATACAAATCGTATTTTTCGGCTATTTATTAATTTGGTCATGCCATCACATTGTGCTGTTGTACAATGCACAAAAACTGCAGTGGAAGACGAAGGAATCCGGTTGGTACATTATGATTTAAAAGTAAGTACCTACTATAGTCACTCACATACTTATAGTTTTCATTTTTGAAATTTGGTAATTTCTCTGATTTCCCATCCGAGTTTCTTCTGTAATTGGACCTAATAGAAATACTCGTAAAATTTCTAAAATAATGCAAGAAGATTAGATTCATGCAATCAAACGGGAGGACTGGTCTGACATGCTGACGAAATATGATCGTGTGTGTTGTAAACATTTTCAATCTATTACCAGTATTATTAGCTTGTATTGCCGAAGTGGCAGAAGGAATTTTAATAAGAAACGACAACATTTCATAATGAAAACTATGTGAGACTATTTTCCTTGAAAATCATATTCCTTCGTCTCTCGCTGCATTTTTTGTGCATTGTACAACAGCACAATGCGAAGGCATGCTTGAATCAATGAATAGAGCAAAAAACACGATTTGTCTGCCATATGGTGAAAAACTATTTCAATCCTTCGATTCCTCTGTAAACAAATGAAAAAGTGAGGTTGTGTTTCAATAATTCACCGAAGAGTGAGGTTGTGTTTCAATATTTCGCCTCCAGGGTCGGTCATCATGCACGCGACCTATGGTCTTTAATCTATAACCGACAACTCCTTTCTCGCAGGATATCCGCCCCCGAGCTACCCACCTGGCAGGACTGCCACGAGCTGTGGAGCAAGAAGCGCAAGCGCCAGATCAGAGAGCAGGCGGAGGCGATGCAGAACCTGCCGCCGGGCAAACCGCCGCCCGGGGCGGCCGCTGGAGGCGGGGGGCGAGACAAGCCGCCGGGCGGCAAGGCGGACGACGCCAACGACGTGGGCGGGTGAGTGACGAGTGGGCGAGGAGGCGAGTGGAGCAAGAGATGAATATGGATGGGGGAGAGATAGATAGAGATAGAAAGAGAGAGAGTTGCGAGGGTTGGGAGGTTGAGGAATGCGGGGTCAAACTGTCGCATTTTTGAAATGGATAAACTTTCCTGTACAGGGTGAGTCACGACTGAAGATTGGAGTCGAATATTATGTTGATACGGAATTCTGAAATTCATAATCATGAAACTAGACAATGTAACTTGTTTCATCTTGACGCCGCTAGCTCCATAATCGGACAAAAAAGATTCACTCATTCAGCCTCAACTGAATTCAATAAACTACCTGACAATATAAAAAATTGCAGAAATATAGGTACATTCAAAAATGAAGTAAAAAAACTGATTATTTCTGAGCGAACTGGATAAAATTAATCATGCCATTTTTTTTACAAATATTATTCTTTGTCAATTTACAGTTGTTGATATATTTTGAATGATGATATGTTTACCTATAGGTATATAATTATGTACTTCCTTATACCAGAGCCTATTCTGTCTGGAAGTTATTTGTTCAATAAATAAATAAAATAAATGAATAAGGTGTACATGAAAAAAAAAAGGTGAGGTGATATAGTGTGACCCACTTCTAATGGAAACACCCCTGTATCTCACGTGATCGTTGGGTAAAGATCCTGAAATTTGCTGGAGCGAGAGATATACCAAGAATGCACTCTATGACCAAGTGGGGTCATCTTCAGTGATATACACTGCTCTCGAACAGCCATGGAAGCACCCCAATTTCTTGAAAATGATATTAGGAGTCAAAATAGGTCGGAAATCACTTCAGATTCGTAATCAGGACGCCCAATTCACTAACTCATAGTTTTCCTAGAAAATTTTCAGTTCAAAAAAATTAATTTTTGTCTCACTTCTCATGGAAGCACCCCCGTATCTCACGTTATTATTGAGGTAGGGTTCTGAAATTTGCAGGAGGAAGGGAAAGTCCAGAGATTAAGTCAATTACGTAAGATACGGGGGTGCTTCCGAAAAAAGTACGACAAAATTCAATTTATCAGAACTTGAAATTTTTCAGGAAAAATATGAATAGTTAGTGAATTGGGTGTCCTGATTCCGAATCTGAAGTGATTTTCGACCTTCCGGAAATTGGGTGGTTCCATGGCTTTTGGCGAGCAGTGTTTATCACTGAGGATGACCCCACTTGGTCATCAGTGCATTTTTGGTATATCTCTCGCTCCCAGCAAATTTCAGGATCCGTACCCAACGATTACGTGAGATACAAGGATGTTTCCATTAGAAGTGGGTCACACTGTATATGTGAAAAATTATATGTTTCCTATGTAACAGAAATACAGGGCGTTATTTGAATTCGGGGCGAATTTTTGATGAACGATATTTCACGAACGTCTCGATGTTATCGTCTGAAAATGACCAGCAACTTACCTCTACTAACACTCTATAAGATGGCCTACTATGGATAAAAAGTTCCAGAGACGGACTTGGGAAATCCATTTTCTTCAGACGCATCAGAATCAAACAGATCAGGAAAAACACTACAAGGGCAGCTCTTCAACTTGTACGGCACACTTTGACCGATTGAGTAAAAATAAAATCCATCAAAATACTGATGAATAATCATTCTATTTCCTCCGGACACATTACTCTTGACATTCGACTTGATGTATTGAATTTTTTTTTATGCATATTGATATACCAGCAAAGTCGGGAATAGGTTTTTCAATCAAAATAAATCAGGACCGGACTTGATTTTTGGAAAAAACTATAAAACATTTAAAATTTTTGGAAAAGCTTTGTCTATACCTTAACAATCTTCAATGAAGATTCTCGAACTGCCCTTCTCCAATTTCTTCACATTTTATGCATCTCTTCAGGAGACCTAATGGTTTTTAGAATAATTTCCCTATTATTTCTGATTATATCTGAATCTGCAACTATCCTCTCCCTCAGTTCCTCTCTGGTGTTGACTTCAGTCTCAATCGTTTCATATGTCTCCATAGATCATAGTCTTATATTGTTCAATCCATTTGCTTACATCCATCACAGCCTTCTTTTTTAGTGCTTTCTGAATCGTGAAAACACCAAACTCACAATTTAATTCGCTGATTGAGAGAGTTCACATGCAATGAGATCATATTCAATAGTTCTTCGAAAGTTCCTATATATAGAATGAGTAGGCACTTCCTCATATTGAGTACAATGTTTTCACATTTCCACATGAAGAAGCAGATTTTAACTAGACATTATTTATATTCATATATCAGAGATCTCTTCCAGAAAATCAAGTACGGTCCTGGTTTTTTTTATCGAATAGAGCCTCTTCCCAACTCTTATGATACACGGATATGCAAGAAATGGATTTTAATGAACTTGTCGAACGATTTGACTACAATATGCCCGTGCGAAATCATGGAAACATTCATCAGTATTTTGTTCCATATATTTTTTTAACGATTTGGTCGAAGTGTGCCGTACAAAATGAAAAGCTACACTTGTGATGTTTTTCCTAATCTTTCTGATTCTGATTACAGTTTTTCGAAAATACGATCCAGAAAGCCAAAATTATGACATTTATAAAGAAAATGAAGTTCCCAAGTCCGGTTCTGGAATTTTTTTCATAGTAGGCCATTCTATGGAGTGTCTGTAGATGAATTTCAGGCGATAACGTGAAGACGTTGCTGAAATATCGTTCATCGAAGTTTCGCCCCGAATACAAATAATGCCCTGTATTTCTGTTACCAATAGGCAAAAAATATTTGTTCACATATATATCAACTCACCTTGAATTCCTCTGCCATTAGGCTATGGCTGGTTAGTCATGACTCACCCTGTATAGTAGGATAGTCAGCTGCAAATATCGACCGTCATCTGATAACGAAATGATACAGAGAAGTGTACAAGAAACGGCCAGTGATGTAACTTCCGAATCATTTGATATCTGATTTTGAAAATTGGTGAGCAATTATACCAAATTGCTCATTTATTGGCAAAACAATTTTTGTTCTGTCACTTCCGGTTTCACAATAAACGGTTATGGATTATCACGTCGAATTGAACGATACCGGGTTTGATAGGGTTATTTGAAATTATCACCAAGATATTCGCGTTCTAAGTTCCCATATGCTCAATGAGTGTGACAGAGAAAGAAGTTTCGATATTGCGCCGTCACATCCAATGAGCTTATGGAAACTTCGCACGCAAATATTTTTATAAAAGTGTTCAATTGCCGACCAGCCGCGACCACATGAACCACACTTCAACCACAGGGTTTTTGATTGATGACCGCATGGACCTAACGTCAAATGGTTACGATTTTTATTGAAAACCAATGCCGACCGATCCAAGACCACTTCGACCGGGCTTTTTGATGGTCGATGCGGTTCGAGGATATAAAGTATAACCTCGAAACAATCAAATTACTCAAAAAATGGGTAAGGACAACTACAGTCTTCAAAATTGAGTGGCTCGAACTGCTTATATTTCAACAAAAATAGCATTACATCACTAAATGATTCGGTAATTTTGCACTTATCATGCGATGGTTTTTTTTTCGAAAATTTTTTTTGGTACTTACGTATTTTTGTCTGAAAAACACGAATTTGATAATGAAAATGAACAAACCATTATTTATTAAGATATTTCACTATAAAGTTACAAATTTCACCTTCTTTGAGGCGCATTTAGAACAATTTGCCCTTCTTTTTCCATCATTGGACAATTTATATATATCACACAATGTTGGACACATTTTTTTTATTATATGAGTCAACTAGAAATATGATTTTCTTGTGATTTATCCATGTTTAGTGAAAACAAGGAAGAATATCATTTGAAATAATGGCGTGTGTGATGTCATTCCAAAGCAATCTATTGACATTTGACATCTCCTATTTGGATTACCCATCGATTAAATGGCGGTCATCTAGTATGCTTGCTCACTAAATAGGAAAAACTCGCCATAAAAATCATATTTCCTGTTGAATTTTCTAGCTTAAAATGTGTCATTGAAGTTCATCATGAGTATATGAAGTGTCCAATGACAAAATAAAAAGAGCAAGTACCTGTAAATGCATCCAACACAAGGGGGAAAATAAGGCAAAATTTCAAACTTCTTCTTGAAATATCTCGATAAATAGTGGTTTGTTCACATTTTCAATATAAAATTCGTGTTTTTCAGACAAAAATACGTAAGTACCAAAAAAAAATTTCGAAAAAAAAAAAACCATCGCATGATAAGTGCAAAATTATCAGTGATTCAATTGAGTGTATTGTTTCTGTTAGTTATACAGTTCAAAATTATTTATTTATCCACAAAATCTATCTGGACGAATTCAATGACTCATACAATAGGTATATGATTATTCCTAATATACCTGGTATTTAGGATATCAGATATTCGGTATATTATCAATAATTGATCAGTGGAGATCACGGTTTTCAAGTTGTATGTATACAAGCGACCGTAGGAAACCATTCGTAATCGTAGGACCGCGAAATTAAGTGCAAATTACCGCACAGGAAAGTGCGATTTTTCAATCACTTTGCTGAGGATAGTGATTGGCACAGGTGTCATTCAAAATACAATGTTTTTACATGCCTTTGAGTCATATATCATTTCGTTATCAGATGACTGTCGAAATTTGCATCTGGCTCTTGGACTAATACGGGTTGACAGCAAAATCATTGGCTAGGGCGTCACTCGGTTTATACTTTGAATATACCCAATGAGAAAGACCACAAAGAAATGAAAAATCTCTCCGATCCTCAATCGATGAATCATGATTTACATTCAATGTACCAGGTGAACAACTAAGAACGGCTGTCGGCGTGATCAGGAGTATCAATAGATATCGTGAATTAAGAAAGTAATGTATGCATATTATTAGACGATCAAATTGAGCAACTAAATCTCAACAGACCAACGAAAACTGCAACATGATAGCTATTCGCTAACGGAAGATATTGACGATCAAAGTTGG